GGGAGATGTGGCTCAAGTGGTAAGGCTTATGCCAAGTAAGCATCAGGCCTTGAGTTCAAACCTGAGTACTACCAAAAGTAAAAAAGAATAAGATATTTCTATACATTTTTACATGATTTCAGAAACAATTGTTTAATGATACAATGATTTATGTGCATTCACAAAACCCATATAGACAGCAATTCAGATTTTCAGTTTGCACCACCAAAACATTCATAGGAAATATTGCAAAAGATTTATCAAAGAAACAGGCAAGTAATTGCAGCAGATATCCTGAGAAGGAAAATTAAAGCTGCTGAAAATGTTAAAAGAGAAAGCAGTGCACTACCAATTCTTGTTAGTGAACTAATTTTCTAGAACTCCTTCAAGAATTTCTGCTTTGCACATTTTAAATGGAAAAATCATGAACCCCAAATTACCTGTGGCAAATTTAAATAAGCTAAATCTAGTCTTTAAAAGATGAAAATGTTATATTTTCATGAAACATTAGTTTCTCCCTCTGTGTTCAAAGCACAGAGAATCTTGTTTGAAGCATGCTTTCACAGTAGTTCTGCCTAAATTATATACTGATTTACAATTATAGATTTCCAAAATTCTCACTGAAGGGATTTTTTCTGAAATTTTAGTTGGTTTGATTTTAACTTATTAAATTAAGAACTTCATTTAAGACAGATATGGCATCAAAGTTTCTCTTAAATACAGCTCAAGTTTTATGATCTCCATTTTCCTAATTACAAGATTTTTTAAAACTATTTCAGGCTCTACCGCCTCATTATAAGTTTTTAAGTTTATACTACTTAATTTTCATAAAGTTCCATTATTTCTATCCATTTTACTTTAAAAAAAAACACACACAAAGTCACTCTAATGGATGTTTTGACAACAGTCTAAACTCAGTGGTATGGTAAGTATTTAGTATGTGAAAAAAAATCTACCGCCTCATTATAAGTTTTTAAGTTTATACTACTTAATTTTCATAAAGTTCCATTATTTCTATCCATTTTACTTTAAAAAAAAAACACACAAAGTCACTCTAATGGATGTTTTGACAACAGTCTAAACTCAGTGGTATGGTAAGTATTTAGTATGTGAAAAAAAATCCAGGAACGTATTGTTAGATTCTAAACAATCCTTTTAGCAAAATACTAATAAAAGTGTTTAACATTTAGGGGGAGAAAAACATTTAGCAGAATGCTTTTCCTTTTTGAATGATGAAGAAGCTCACTTATTTCTCTTTCAAAGTCCATTCAAGTTGATTGATTCTGATTTGTTAGGAACTTCAGGGCACTGCGATGGACAGATGGGAAGTTACGGGGAAGCGGCTCAGGGCATGGGCGCTGGCCACACCTCATTTACCCTGAGAACTGGGGATGCTGTTTATGTTGACAAACTACGATATGTGCAGGGGGCAATTCAATGGTGTTACTCCTTTGAAAAACTTAGTTTAACAAAATGAATAACAGGAATCCAGAACATGTATTGTAGAGGCAATAGGGGGCGGGGTGTGTGAGGTCAAGGGGAAAGTGGTCACACTAATGGAGAGAGGTAAGGTGGTAGGTAAATGCAGTCACAACATTCAATGTACACATGTGAAAATGGAACCATGTAAACTGAGGGGAGAGGTGGGTGAAGAGACATGGAGAATGCTGGAAAGGGCGACATTCATCAAAGTACACTGCACTCATAAACTGATGTTGAATTGATACCCCATTGTACAACTTATTGAAGGATTTTTTTAAATAACCTTAGTGACTCCAGATTCTCTCAAAGCAAATGATTTATTTCTGCTTTAAAGTGATTTCCTTGGTCCAAGTCAAGCAGTAAAGGAACGCCATGTGCTACAACATGGATGAACCTTTAGGAATTATGCTAAGTGAAATGAGCAAGTCATAAGATACTAGCTATATGATTTCATCCATATGAGGTATATTAAGTAGCTGAATTTTTAATACCACATCAGATGGTAGTTACCTGGAATGGGGACATGGGGAAAGAGGGACTGCTTCATTTTGCAAAATAAGTAAGTCCTAGAGATATGAATGTGCTTAGTACTATGGAATTATAACATAAAATTGATGAAGATGGGAATTTTGTCAGTCAGTGACCTTGCCCAACTCCCTGCATGGCACAGCCACCAGCTGTGAATTCCAGCCCCTCAAGCCAACCATTCTCACCTTTGTCCTCATGAATCCAGGTAAAAGTAGGCCTCATCACTTCAGACTGGCAACCATGGGACAGTGCTGCCCTGGAGGAGCATGGTGACAGTTGCTTCCAAGCACACAAGAGAAACTGAGAGTTGATAGTCCCATTCACTCAATTCCACCAATCTTTCATAGAAAAGGGCTTCATGGAAGTGAAGTGAGTGCTTTCTCAGGAAAGTACAAAACACAGGAAGAATGAGAAAACCAATACAGCCATATGCGTTGTCAGCCAAAATGAACTGTGGCACCAGGAAAAGAAGAGAGGGGACAGTGCCCAAAAGGGGCAGGCTAAGGACAAGGCTTGTGCACCCAACTCCTTCTCCTTTGGCTAATTCCCTCAAGCAGATTCAAACTTAAGTAGAATAAGCAAATTCCAGCTTATTGGTAAGTCCTCTTTATTTACAAGTACAAGTCTCTAAAAGGTCAAGGTAGTTATCTTTTAAATAATACATCAATCATATAAAAGAACTAGAACAAAGTAGAGACATATATACATTATAATACATTAAGTACTTTTAATATTGTTAATGCAAGTTTGTCATATTAAATTAAGAGACTATTATGATTTACAATGTTATTTCTCTAGTTTAAAATTCAATCTGTCAAAAGACATAATGTACATTTTTACAAAACTAACACAGCAGTATTAATAAAACTGCTTATGATTGTAATCTTCATTTTTTTTCTATAATACACTGCACCCGTGTTACAAAGACAAACACAAAAAGGCATTGCACTAGATGGCCGAATACTGCGTAAGTCAGTGTGTCAACATTTCAGGAAAAAAGATGACCTCCTCAGTTTCCCCATCTGGCTCATTTACAATTGGATCACTCTCCAAGCTCACCCTACTTTCTACAGGTAGATTATTTTCCTTGGCAGTTTGAAACAAACGCCCTGCTATTGGGCAAAATGCCAAAAAGCTGACAGTTACAAGGCTATCATAAAAGCTGATACAATATGACCAACCCAACCATTTGTAATACTCAATAAAAGCCAAAGCTAGAAAACCACTCCTGAATCTCAAGGAAAAACTTACACATCTTTCTGTAGGAAAGTTTGAATATCTATAAAGTTCTCAAGAGACTACAAAAAAGGGCTTGCAATAGCTTTGTCTACTCTTTTATTTTCCTTAGGCTGGAATAAGAAAAGGTAAACCATTTCTATATTTTTGTTAAGTTTTGATGGCATCAAAAAGCTTCACATTTATAAATAAGATTTTCATATAAAGCGATATGTTGGCATAGTTTTCTCATGCTACTATCAATTATTTTCAGGATTCATCTTGTATTATAAGGATTTCTAAGCACAGATTTTTCTCCTCATTCCCAACTTTTCAGCATTAATATTCTCTAGGCACTGAAAAGGAGTTCAAAAGAGGAAAAGCATTCAGTGCTTAAACTGAGCAGCAGTCTCCAAGCACCTTATGTCTGATATCATGGTCTAAACAAGCAGCTGGGGGCCAAGAATGTGTTGTGCCACACAGAAGACACTGTTGAATTGTGAGTTTCCCCTTTATAACACAGGCCCAGAAGATAGTTAAAGCAGTAACTCTTGCTTCAAAATGTTTAACCATGAAATTACCATAGGTTGCAGTGTTTTCCAAGTCATGGGCAAGGAAATGAAACCTGGCATGCTATGTTATCATCAAGAGCTATTTTTATGGAACATTTCAGCTATGCACATGGTTCTGGAATGAAAACAAAGAAATAACCCTATTACAGATAGGGGAAGACACCTTCCTAGCTCTACAGGATAAGTAACCCTACAAAATGAACAAAGGCAAAACAATATTGGCATCTCCAGTCTGACACAAAATCATGAAAAGCTAACCATGTTCCATCCATCTTTCACCTCTGTATAACTGCTTCACTTGTTACTGATAGCAAAACTAAAATCATCAGTGTTTTATATATCTTCAAAGGCACACACACAAGTTTAAAAACAGTAAGGGGCTTCTTGTCAGATCTGCCATAAGCCCTTGGTCAACTTGCTTCTGAGTTCGAAATTAACCATGTTTTTAATAAGCACCAAATGCCAAACCACTGCCTTCATTCTCTAAAGCAAACTTTCCAAGACGTTCCTACATCATGTACTTTTATATAATCTGAAACTGGATACATTCAGCTTTCTTTTTTTTTTTTTTCTGTGACTACTAATATGCTCTTTTAGGAAGTCTAAAAACAGTGGAATCCTTAAACCTTTACAAATCTCCATATTATCCTTGCTACAAAAAGAAGCCAAGAGAAAATATTGTGGCTTACAATATTTCCTCAAAGTTCAGTACTTCTGATCACTTTTTTAAAAACAAACAAAATTGCTGGCTATTGCCAGGCGCTGATGGCTCTTGCCTGTACTCCTAGCTACTCGAGGGGTTAAGATTTGAGGCCTGCAGTTCAGAGTCAGCAGGGGCAAGAAAGTCTGTGAGACTTTTTTCTCCAATTAACCACCAAAAATCAGGAAGTAGAGCTGTGGCTCAAGTGGTAAAGTGCTAGCCTTGAGCAGAAAAAGTTCAGGGCCCTGAGTTCAAAATTCTAGGACCAACACACACAGATGGAGGGAAAGAGGGAAGGAGGGAAAGAGGGAAGGAAGGAAGGAAGCCATTAAGCAAGAAGTTCCTTACTGGGGCTGGGAAGGTGGCTCAGTGGTAGAGTGCTTTGCCTTGCATGCATGAGGCCCTGGGTTCAATTCCTCAGCAACACATAAGCAAAAAGAAAAAAGCCGGAAGGGGCACCGTGGCTCAAGTGGTAGAGCGCTAGCCTTGAGCTAAAGAGCTGAGGGACAGTGCCCAGGCCTAAAGTTCAGGCCCCATGACCGGACCCCCCTCCCCCCAAAAAAGAAGTTCCTTACTAAGAATAACCTTATATATTGAAATTTCTGAATAGCAGAACCAGGTCAATGTACAGAAAATTAAAAAGCAGTTATGTCCACAGAATAGACTTTTGTAACTCTAGCCACCACTTAAATTGCTGGTTGTGCTGAAAGATACTTACTATGGTTAGAAGCAACTAAGTGCTTCCTTCTCATCCAATTTCCTGAATTGGGTCTGATTTTTTTTACATTAAAAAATGCTTTATTAATTAAAATCCTTTAGGGATTCAGTAATTCTAGACTCATTTATTACGCTTCCCTGAAAATGAGAGAGAAAAAACAGAAACCTAAAAACTGAGCACTTGCAGATAAGTGCATTTAACATATTAATTACACAAAATAAGCTTTTTAACAACAAGCTTTTAAGAATTACTCCAACATAAAGGGGGTGTAAAATTAATAGTGTAATTCTCATCACCTACTGAGAAGATAGAATTTTAATATACCACATACACTTGAAGCTGGGACATTCAGAACATGGCAGGATTCTCAACTTAAGCCAAATTTCTCAATAAAAAACAGGGCTATCCTGTTTAACATCACATTAACAAATGAAACAGTTATTTTTTTAAGATTTCAGAACTCCTAATAATATATAACATTAAATTATTAGATATGAAACATACACCAAATTCAACAGTGCTACAAATGCTTTCTAGGTAAAGAATGTGTGAAATGTGAGAGTTACAGGGACAGTCACAACCTATTTAAGATAGTGTTTGCTTCTTCAAACAATTCAGTTAGCAAATTACAGGAACTCAGTTTTTCATTGTATCTTCTGGTCTCTAATCTTTGCCATTTGAGATGGATCTGGATTTAGCTTAAGTGTGAATATGTCAGACAGCTTCCAAATCTATGGACAGTTTAATTTGAAGGCATCAAAAAACAAAGAGCAAATTAATGGAGTTTGTACCCTTCTGTTTAAACAGTCTAAAGACTCATGACACTGAAAGGTCTTTGTATCATAGTCTATTTCAAATGATGTGTTAGATTTTAGCAATTCAGATCCAACCCTGTCCAGTGGTCTGGTACCATGAGGAAATACTTGTCCATTGCTTCACAAAACCTAGTCCGATACAACTCTGGAGAGACTACAGTGGGCATTTTACCTAAGATTATGAAAGACAAAGGGAAAGAAGTTGTTATACATTTATAATTGACCCAACAACTGCCAATCACCTCTGCTTTTTACAGAGAAGTGCCATATGCCAGCACAGTCTGAGAAAGTAGGTAGGGCTACAGTGCTGTGCCACCTGGCGCAGGGCAGGCCCCTTCCTGAGGGCAGTTTCTTCTTCAAGAGATGAGCTCGAGATATCTAAGTGCACAACTTAGGCTAGCAGCACTTTAAGAACTTCAAGATAACTAGTGTTAATCAACAACTAGCTCTTATTCAGAATCTCTGGCTTTAAATAAAAATCATTATTTGAAAACCCCTAGGATTTTAAAACAAATTTAAACTCAGTATTTTCCCACTTACATAATTCCTGTCATCTAATTTTGGAAATTATAAAATAACCACATAATTTTTAACTTAAAAAAATCTGCAACTACTTTTTAAGTCATAACTGAAAAGGAAAACATAGGAGTTAGCTTAAAGAGTAAATAAAACAACACTTGCTCACCTTGTCCACCTAAAATTCCTGTTGATTTCACAACCATCTCAAGCTTTTTGTCCCATGTAAATGTTCTAATATAATCTAAGAGGGGGAGGAAACACGCAAAATAAGCACTGGTTTTGTAAATAAACATAGGCACATAAAAACATCCATGACTATCATTATTACTTCTATGAGAATGAACTTTATTAAGTGCTGACACTATGCCCACTGCTGTTCTGTGTTTTCCCCCACATCAATCTGTTTAATCCTTACAACAATAAACCAGGGCCTTCTTTTTAAGTATTTTTTTAAAAATCTTCATATTAAATATCTTCACATTTAATGTAGATAACGGAAATAGAAATAAGGAAAATGGATACAATGGACTAGAGTGAAAAACCATTACTTTTGAAATCTAAAATGAAAGTTTGTGGAAATATACTAAGCTACTAATAGGTCCAAGTTCAAAAAATTCTTATGATTTATTCCAGCTTCAACAGTGTGTTATGAGTATTGCTATTGACTTACCTATAATTCCAACTACCAGCTCATTGTTTGTATCATCTCGCCCAACCAGCAAAGAATAATCTATAATGAGGTGGCTGGAAAGGAAATGAGAGTCACTGTGGATGGAAGTTCTCAGTACAGCTTTAGAATGAGAACGAATATACAGAGGGTTGTCCCGAACCATCTTTAGGAGATTTTCATCCAGCAGGACCACATCACAACTCTCTTTCCCAGTGTCCATTTTTACATTTCGATTCCTAAGTGAACCCTTCAAATCAAAAACCTAACAGAAAAAAAAGTATTTGTCACTTATGTGCAAGGTTACAATGCTTAACTAAATTAAACTAAAAAGGCAAAAACACTCTTTGAAGTCTCTACTATTAAATTTCTTTACAAAATTTAATTATAACTTTTAAAATTTAAATCATTAAATGCATGGCAATATTTTCTTACACATAAAAGACAGAGTGATAGGATTGTAGCATATGAAATTCTCAGGTACTGAGTTACTTAAACAATTTGACAATAATCTGTTCCATTTAAGAAACTTCACAAGAAACTCCAAAAAAAAAAAAAATACCTGATAATAAAGGAGTAAAAAGCAAGAGATGCAAATAATCTCAGAAAATTAAAAGTTTTACACCAAACCCCCCATGCAATTACTTATGGCAATGCAGAAGCAACAGCTATGAATAGGAATATTCAAGTGGCAGGAAAAGCAATGTACTCAAAGGTGAAGGTCTGCACAACATTCTGCAGACCAGTGCTGCTTGGCTGTTCCTAGCTAATGATGATGCTGAGGAGCCAGAATGTAAATCAATTAGGTTACTAAGCACCTAGTTTACTTGAGCTCAGACTCTTCTTATACAAAAATATGCAAAATGAAGAAAGCAACAACTGAGTTATAGTCAGGCACAAGCTCTTTATTTTCAGACAGGAAACAGTGTGAGGACTAGCTCTTTGAAGAGCATTGCTGTAGCTCTAGACAAACCTGAAATCTAAAAGCAACAAAGTGACTTTGATAAGGTACTCAATCTCTGGGTCTCAGCTAATTCATTTTAAAACTGACATGGCAAATGTAGATCCGCTTTCTTAGTCTACCAATTCTGTGAATCTAAAATATTGGAAATGTAAATTTAAGAAACAAGTCATAAATAATTTTTCTTTAGACTGTCTTTCAATAAGTTTAAAAGTTACATGCATTATTAACCAAAACTAAATTATTTACCATAAAATAGGGTAGTAATTGGATTCATTGTATTTAAGAACCAGAAATACAAAGTGCTTCAGATAGTACAGTATCTTACCTGAGCCATCTTTCTCCCATAGAAAAGATTTTCCATGACAAGGAGGTCTAACTTCTTCTCAGTGTTGTTCTGAGAGTTCTTATAACCAATTCTGTAAACTCCAAGAATTTTGGCCAGAGCAGTAGGCCTCTATTCAAAAACAAAAAACAAAGATGAAAGCTAACACTTTAACCATAAGGATTATTTGTAATTTAATATCAATGGCTGCATTATTCATGTAATATCCAAACATGACTTTTTATTCATATAACAAGAGGACTTTGAAAGAAATCTCACCCTGAGATCTCACAAGTTAGTGTACCAGCAATGCCAATAAAAATAGTAGATCTTTCAATTCTCCAGAAGATGATCGTTCATAGTTATTTAAACTCAAAACCTTTACTATGACATGTAATTTCCCCTTAATAAACATGTAATAAAACATAATTAGAAAAGTAAACAAAACTATTAACTTCTTTATAACTTCATAGGGTTGTGAGTTCAGTGCTCAATGACAAGTAGACACAACTCTTTCTCATCAATTCTCAACAAATGACAAATTAGTAAATGTACAACTAATTTCATCTAGTTTTAATATTTTAGTATACACACCAATTAAAAGGAACTTGCTTGAAGTCATTTGATGCCTCAGTGGCAAGGACAAAAGAAATAAAGTTTGAAATCTTTGCATTCTATTGTATACCTCAATAGCATAGAGAGATCTAAGTACGCTCTGCTCTTATCACAGGAAAACTGCCAAGAGGACTAACCTTCAAGATGTAAAAAAGACAAGTAAACTTTCAGTATACACCAAGAGTTAGGATTTCTACCTTTTGTTGCACAGCATTTGTAATATAATTGAAGTAGTGTGGTGCAAAGTCGAGGAAAGACTGGACTTCCAGACGAGGCATTTGCTTCAAAATGAATCTATCATCTATAAAGGCAGAAAGTTCACTAAGACATAATATATATTTTCAACTACAATAAATAATCCTAGAGATCCCAAATTATCTGCTTGCTTTTGTTTTTAAGGAGTATTTTTTGCTGTCACAATGGAATTTTTTATGAGAACACAGTTTTCTTTTGAAAAGCTTGAAGGGATCCTCTAGCTTCTACTTTTGATAGTACCACAGTCAATTTCATTGTTAGATCATTTAAATTTTTGCACTATCAAGTAAAATTTCATCCACTTTGCTGCTAACAATCCAGTAAGTCAGATTTATGAAATTTCTTTTCAGGTAGCAAAATTCTTGTAATTTCTTAAATAATTTTGCTTTCTGTGGACAGAGAGAATAATAAATATAAATGGTCATAATATTCTGTAAATATTCCCATATTGTTCTCTCATCAGTTCATTTGAGTTTTGTACAAGTTCTATTTCTATCTACATTTAGAGAACTCAGAACTACACAGTTTAATAATGACTTCATTGTCTGAGTCTCATTACAAAAATGTGTGTGCTTATCTTTTAAAGAAATATCACATCTTCTCACAAATAGAAATATAGCTAGAAAACGTTGTAAACAGTCAATACTGTAGTTTAACAGTTCAAGTAATGTGTAAATTATCTCAAGGGGGAAAAAATGGACAATACTAACCAGTAAATGATTTTTTAAAAAAAGACTTACCTTCCGTGGCATAGAATGCAGCTCCCGATTTGCCCCCTCGAGCCTGCCAGGGGGAGGAGTGGGATAGGGAGCGGATGAAGTCTTCCTCACTGCTGCCCAGAATCACTTCACGCATCTTATGGAACTCTCCCGCATAGTACAGACGGCAGTAAAACTTGGCATTAGCATCAGAAAATTCTACACAGAAAAGTTAAAAAAAAAACTCTTTTAATAAGTCGGAAAATGTCTGTCTATTCCACAAAGCACTGAATGCCATCATTTAGGTTTTTCTGTGACAGTGTCTTTTAGGTGAAGTCTAAATCCCTATATAGCACAATTTGGATAAAGTGATCTTCAGAGTTATTAGAGAACATTATCTACTCACTATTACTTATTTTCAAAATAATTAAAAGTTCTAATTTCACACTGGCTATTATTATTTTATACCAATTTTGTTGTTGTTGTTGTTGTTAGTCATGGGGTTTGAAATCTGGGCCTGGGAGCTATCCCTAAGCTCCTCAGCTCAAGGCAAGCACTCTACCACTTGGGCCACAGTACCTTTCCTGTCCAGGCTGGCTTTGAACCTTGATCCTCAAATCTCAGCCTCCTGAGTAGCTAGGATTACAGGCGTGAGCCACCAGCGCCTAGGTGAAATTCTTAATAAGCATCTTAATGTCTGTGAATCTTAGTGGCTCTCAATGACCTAGTTAAAAAATACTTAAATATTAAAACTTAAAAGTAGAATTTTTAAATTATAATGAAATTTATAGATTAAATGATACATATTCCAAATGAAATTTATAGAATAATTAAACCTATTTCAACATAGATTTAATATGCATTTCTGAAATATTTGATAGGCATGATGGGTACCTATAATCCCACCACTTGAGAGACTGAGGTAGGAGCACCATGAGTTATAGGCCAAACTAGGCTACAAAGCAAAACTACATCTCACACTCATGAACAAACCAAAAGCAAGAAGAAGGGGCAGGATATTAATCGAGTACAAATCTAAAAATCTCACATAATGGAATTTGCTCAGTTATGGTCACTTTCCCCACACAGACAATATATTATTGCATACTTACGAAGTTCTACATGAGGATTTGTGAGTTGTTTCTTTTGTGTATCTCCTCCATCTATTTCATCTAAAGATTTAATATCAGGAATAAAAGTAAAATTTTAGATTAAATTGTCCTTTCTTTTCCTGGATACAGCAACACAAATTTACAAGTCAACTATAAAAAGATTTGAGTTAGGCCAGGCACCAGTAGCTCATGCCTGGAATCCTAGGTACTTGGGAGGCTGAGGCATAAAGATCAAAGTTCAAAGCTAGCCAAGAAAGCTCTGAGAGATACCATTAACCAGGTAGGTCTGAAGAGATGGCTCAAATAGTAAAATGCCAGCTATGAGCAAGCAAATACAAGCTTTCCTAAGCCCCATTATAGAAAAAAAAAATTGAGTTAAGTTACTACCATATAAGCACTGTATTCAGATGATTACAATTAAAATGTATATGATTTTATGATCACTCAATGTGTTAAAAAAAAGAGAAATGAAAAGAGAATTTGGGTTGAATACTTTTTCTGACATTTAAGTGATTCCTATGGTAACAGTACAGTAACTCAGCTCTTACAATAAGAATTTCCTAGCCTTTTTTTTTTTTTTTTTTGCAGTGCTGGAACTTGAACTCAGGGTCTTGTGATTACTTGCTGGTGCTCTACCACTTGAGCCACATCTCCATCCTTCTTTTTGCTGGTTGTTTTGGAGATGGGGGTCTCCAAGACTTTTCTGCCCAGGCTGATTCTGAACCACAGTTCTCTGAATCACAGTCTCCTGGGATATAAGGAACATAAGCACAAGCTACCAGTGCCTAGCTCCATGACTTCTCCATAAAGCATATGATCAGGTGTTCCCAGGTGTATGGAATGATGCTTCCCCAGCTCATTAGTCTTAATTAGTTTTTTTATTTTTATTTTACTGGTCTTTCTGGCAAACCTACTGCTAAATCCACTGTGCTTATGGTAGATTCATTTTAAAATAAATGTGGATATAAATAGCCAGTCTTCCAGAGATCAGAAAAGGAAGAAACATAGGAGAAAGAGTGAAATGGAAAAAAACTTGAGTATATATTGTAAGTTACATAACAAGACAGATGATTTACATGCAGAAGCCATTTAGCCTGAGGGCTGAGAAGACTCTGTTTTTGCCTCTTTATAAGGATGGCAACCAAGGATTTCTGGTTCTACCACAGTAAGTGAAAATAACATCTGAAACCAGATGGACTCTCCAAGCATCACATTATGGCATTGCTACCCACCATACTGACAAGTGAGAACACAGGGAAAGCTCTACCTTCAGCAACAAGAACTATCTAGTGATGCCCATAAGAAAGAACTGAAACTAATCATTAAAATTAAAACGGAGAATAAGTATGTTTGGTCTACTTAACAAACCTTGGGGCTCAATGCCTTGATTTTCCATGCCCTCCTTGCCCGTCTGCCCAACCTGGTAGTAAGCACTATCTGCTCCACGTAAGGTCTCTCTCTTCTGTGAAGACAGATCAGGGCTTTTCCCCGCTGTCCCTCTGAAGAAAGACAACATTCCAGAAGCCTTTTTTGCTGAAAATAAGAAGTAACATTAATTTTAAGTACAGGCTGTTGTAATAAAAAATAAAAAATTTCAACTTTGTTAGCAGTTACCATTATATACTCCTAGTAAATCTGAGTTACAGAAATATTTTTATTTGCACAGATTATCCCATATGCTGTTACAGGTGTTGTTTTTAGGTAGTTAAGTGCCCTTATTATCAGAACTAGGAGAGTAGGGCTCAGCTAGCTGAATATCACAATGTGAGAAATGTTCCAGAAGGCTCTTCAAAAATGTTTTTCAACCATACCATGAGCAAGGGTAAGTTAATTTTGATAATATTTAATATAGTTAAAAAGTAAACACAAAACTATTTCAAAAGCTAAATTTTAATAAATTAACGTTTTTTTATCTTGTGTTCCTGTATTTTAACAGGAAAACCTTTTGCATATAGCATCTTTCAAAATTGAACACTACAGGATGTCCAAGAATTTATGAAAGTTTGTTCTTTAGTTTTCTTTTTTTTAAGTGATATTTTGGTTGTTTTTAAGTAGTTTCACGAAGGAGTTAACATTCACCACAGCATTTATGAATACAGTGCATCCTGATCAATGTTACCCCTGTCAACATTCTCACTCACCACTCTCAACCCAGCTCTTCCTTCCCTTATTTTTTTAAGTTATGTATTGATTTTCTTGCCATTTAGTTTTATTTCTAGTATTTAGTTTCAATCATGGTATTAGTGTTGATTCTAATACTGTAAATTCATCAATTACATTATAATCTTGTTGGTATCCTCAGAAAATATAGTTCATAATCTCCAATGTGGATTCTTGCAAGAAAAAGAGTTTTTTGTAGGGGGAGCTATGTGTAGAGGCCAAAGAAATAGATCATGGCTTGTACCAGAGTATGCTGCTGCTACCTTCATGATCTCTTATACTGGTACAGGTGCCTGTACGACTCACTTCTGACCACTAGACTGAAGGAGGCAAAGATAATATAGTCGCATAATACAAGACAACAGGTACACCTTGTCCCCTTCTCTCCTGCTCTCTGTCTCAAATGTAAATAAAATCAGAATATTTTTATCTATGAGGAAAACTTAAGATAATCCAAGAGAAACTATCCACTATATATTGCTATAAGAATACGGTGCAGGGCTGGGAAGGTGGTTCAGTGGTAGAGTGCTTGCCTTGCATGCATGAGGTCTTGGGTTCAATTCCTCAGCACCACATAAGCAAAAAGAAAAAAGCCGGAAGTGGCGCTGTGGCTCAAGTGGTAGAGCACTAGCCTTGAGCTGAAGAGCTGAGGGACAGCGCCCAGGTCCAGAGTTCAGGCCCCACAACCGGACCCAAAAAAAAAAAAATACTGTGCAGTTTAACAAATGCCAGCAATTGCCCACTGCCAGGAAGTTATTTTAGAAAATTCATCACTTGTTTAAGGCCATACTGAGGTATTCCTAATGATGGTGGGGGAACTATTATAAAGCCTACATTTTTGAATATTTTTCCATATAGTACAGCATTTTACCTTTTCCTATGGCCAGGAGGTATTTCAAGACTTTTTATTCCATGTTGAAACCCATATTTATCTAAATTATGAATCAGACTTCTTATATTATGAATGGGGTTGAACTGTCTGTTGAACTGTGTTACCTGGGTAGCCAAATGCATTGCTGACAAATAGGTAAGAAGATCCAAGTTCAAATTCCACTTCTACGACTAAAGTCTAATGTTAGGCAAGTTAACCTACTTTGTCACCTTTTCCCTTGCTTTCTCACAGTTTTCTCCCTTCTGACCTCCCTCCCCAACAAGTTGTATAGTTCACTTTCAACACCCTGTCTAGTGAGTATCACTGCTGAATTAGTTCACCCTTTGTCCCACCATTCTGTGCTTCCCCTTACCCTCCCCAAAATAGATAAACTTACATACAAGACAAAAGGTGAAGAAATCAAAAACAGTGACAAAAGGGGAAAACAAAAAACAAAACAAGAAATAAACACAAGTAAAATGAAAAAAACCTCTTGTTTCTAGTTCTTGGAGTTCATTTTCTATGATGTTTACTGCACATAGCTATGAGCCTTTGTGATCCTCACCTAACAATTATCCTCCTTTGCTCTCATTGTGTCTTTAGAGTCCTGTTTAATTTGTCATGTCCAAGTATAAATTTTTGCCTTTTACCATCCACTGTGTTTATTTATAGATTTATAGACACATCCTAATTACTACAAATGAGGGAAACCATGCAACCTATGTTTCTTTGGGTCTGGCTTAATAAAATTTTTCAAAGTCTATTTCCTTACAAATGGGGCAATATCATTCTTTCTGATGGAAGCGTAGGATTCCATTGTGTGTGTGAGTGTGTGAGTGTGTGTGTGTTTGTGTGTGTGTGTGTGTGTGTGTGTGTGATCTATTCGTCCACTGAAGGACTTCTGGGTTGATTCCATATCTTCGCTATGATAAACAATGCTGCAGTGAACATGGTTATGCTAGTGGCTTTAGTGTGGCCTGGTTTGTGGTCAACTGGATAAATGCCCAGGAGTAGGAATGGTGGGTCATAGGGAAGCTCTATGTTTGGTCTTTTGAGGAACCTCCATACTGCTTTCTGGAGTAACTGAACAAGTTTACAAGTTTACATTCCCACAAACAGTGTAGCATTTCCTTTTGGCCACATCCCCACCAGCATCTGTTACTAGTTTTTTTTATAATGGCCAATTCTGACTGGGGTGAAGTAGAATCTCAATGTTTTAATTTGCATTTCTTTTATGGCCATATCTCTTCATGTATTTATTGGCCATTCTTGCTTCTTCTGAGAAGTTTCTTTTTAAGTCTTTAGCCTATTTATTAATTGGATTGTTGTTTCTTTGAAGATTTGTTTTTGGAAGGGTTTAATTTTTTGAGCTCTAAGTATATTTTAGATATGAGGCCTTTGTCTGATGCATATCTAGGAAAGATCTTCTCCCATTCTGTAGGTTTTCTATTTATCTTGCTAGCTATGTCCTTTGCCATGCAGAAATTCTTCAGTTTGCTGAATTCCACTTATCTAGTCTTTGATTTGTTGCAATAAATCAAAGGCAAGTTAGTCTAATTCTTAACTTTCTGCAATGGAGTTATGTCAAATAATCCTTATGTGGTTATAGTGGAAAATAAAGGAGGTAATATGTAACAATTTACTTTGATAGTGCCAATCACACTATAAAATTGAACATGTAAGTTGCAATTACATTTCATAGGTTAAGAGATATAATCAGGTTATAGATTATATGCTATCATATAATGTTCTAAACTTTAAGTTCTCAAAAAACAGATTCCTCCTTTTTTTACATACACTAAGTAGCTTTTAGGAATTTAAAATTCAATAATTTGAACCTATACTTAAGGTAAAAAAGATGAAAGGCAAAAGATATGGAAAATAAATATTCAAATATGTTTAAATTCATTTAATGAATGACATTCATAATCATAAATAAAAGAAACAGAAAGTATTTATACATTTGTAAACTTACTTGGTTGTGGTTCTGCTTCTGCTGTACGATTTGCCTGTCCTCCACTCATTTCAGGTAATCTAATAGGACTGCTACTCTTTGGTCTGCTATCTAAAACACTAAGATGAAAAGCAAAGGGAAGATTGATTTTAAACTATTAAGACACAAAATAGCAAATATACTAATTCCCGCACGAATCTACCCCTCAACTAATCCCTCCCACAATATAAATTCTCTGATTTATAACTTAGATAAATATAGATTATAACATGGAAGAAAAAGTCTTAAAATATCTACTGGAAAGTAAAACACTATAATTATAAAGATGAATGCAAGATGTACAAAAGCATCTTTGTAATATTCCCCCACTGCCATTAGAATTATGTAAGTACCCACAAGTCAATTATAAAAGTATCAATTTTTATTTTCTCCAAATTATCCATATTAACTTTTATTTTGTCAATTTAGTACAGTTGGAAAAATCTACTTTAGTAATGAGCCTTTAACCACTTCATTCTAAAATACTAAATATCTAAAATAACTCTTTTGAACGCTTTTAAAGTATCAGGATTTTTAGTTACTATAGAAAATTCAGACACCTAAAACTATAAAGCCATGCAGCAGTAAATTAATTGCATTAATTTTCTAATTTTAAATAAAAATAACTTACTTTCTTTTCAAAAGTGATATAAGTTTAAACTTGTAATATGTACGTCAATTGGCAGAAAAGCAAGAGACTATAAAGACTAGTCATACTTAAATTTTATTGTCTTGATTACTAGTTAAAATAAATGCCATTATCTGGATCAAACCGATCATATGTTATAACAAAAGCAAAAAGCTATAAAAATGATGAGACAGCTAAATTAAAATAGACTTTAGTCAATTACGAATCACCTATTTGTTGGAAGCCCTTCTTCAGCATTGTTCCACAGAGTTGCTTTAGACAATTCTTCTAAGGCATTTCGGTATTCTTTACAACTTTGGGTAGAAATAGATTGAAAAAGGTTAAATGTTAGCCTCTTCATTAAAAATATATTACAAGCTTTAGAATAAGTTTAATACTACAGAAACATTAAACAAATACATCCTTAAACAAATACATCTAGGTTACCTAACAAAAGTGATCAAGTAGAAGTTCTATGAAGAAAGCCAGTATCTTCACAGAGAATCAAATAAAAAAAAGACTTTTGATAAAGGAGGATCAATAACCTTAACAATGATCAAAAATGCCAAGTTACAAGCCCTAAGGATGTAACCACCTAATAGAATGCTCATCTAGCATGTTCAAGGCCCGAGTTAGACCCTCAGAACCAGAGAAAGAACAAAAAAAAAAAAAAAATCTCGTTACTAATAGAGTGAATAACTTCAGGCTTCTGGCAAGTTAAAAATATGAAACATGAAAATTTACCTTTACCACAATAGAGAGTAAGGAACTTAAGAGCGCTTTTCTACTTAACAATACTAAATTTTAAGAAAAAGCTTTTTCAGGGGCTGGGAAGGTGGCTCAGTGATAGAACGCTTGGGTTCTATTCCTCAGCACCACATAAGCAAAAAAAAAAAAAAAGCCGGAAGTGGCACTGTGGCTCAAGTGGTAGAGTGCTAGCCTTGAGCTGAAGAGCTGAGGGACAGCGCCCAGGCCCAGAGTTCAGGCCCCACGACCGGACCCGCCCCCCTCCCCCCAAAAAAAGCTTTTCATATTCTATGACCGCTCCCCCCCATAAAGCCTTTTAGAGAGCAGCCTTAAGGTCATGATAGATAGATAAAACAAATTTCATAGAACAAGAGACAAATGGTACAGTGCATTATTTTTCTAAGACACTTAAGGGAAATGACCTAACTAGATACTTGCTTCCCAACAGTAAAAAAAAAAAAAAAAAAGTTTTCATTTGATACTTTTCATCTATTAATGAGTTACATGGTAAGAAGCTAATATTGGCTTCATAAAAGATAAAAATGCAAGAATAAAATAATAGCTTGTGGACTCTAATAAAGGAAAATAATTTCTATTATCCAAACAGTAAATTGTAAATCCCTAAAGGAAGCTGTATACAATTTGTTTATCCCTGTAAGTTCAATACCACATTCTAATGTTTGTTGGATAGATATATTTTGGCCAACATCTGAAAAGAAAAATGTTCATTTTAATCCCTCATCTTAGGAAAAAACTTAACTCAATACTTTTGACTCTACTTAAACTAAGTTCAACCAACTCTAAGATAACTTCTATGTCTAAGAAGCTGGGTTTTTTTGGTTTTTTGTTTTTTTTTTTGAGTCCGGTTGTGGGGCCTGAACTCTGGGCCTGGGCGCTATCCCTCAGCTCTTCAGCTCAAGGCTAGCACTCTACTAGTTGAGCCACAGCGCCACTTCCGGCTTTTTTCGTTTTTGCTTATGTGGTGCTGAGGAATCGAACCCAGGGTCTCAGGCATGCAAGGCAAGCGCTCTACCACTGAGCCACCTTCCCAGCCCGAAGCTGGGGTTTTTAACATATTATATAAACATTTCTAAAATTTGATACTTCTTTGAAATACATGATAAATTATGTAAATTAAAAGTCAAACAAGTCTACAGAATAAGGCACAGAAATGTTTCCTAAATAGGAAACTTTGGCTTAGTATCTATAGAATGCAGGAAAAAAATCATTCTTAGATGACATAAGGTAGGCATATTCCAAGTAACAAAGTAAGGGATATAAGATATATACATAATTAAAACAGAGAGAATGGTTAGAGATAAGGATTAGTAAACAATCTGTCTAATCAACTTAGTTATAAGAAACTTGCTTAAAAGTCATGCTAGCTATACATCATTATTTGGGTAGAAATTTTGAGGTTTGAAGAGAATAAGACTATCATGCCTAAAGAATAAAGTTTTGCTTATATTTAATCATCATCCTTTATGTGAAAGATCCCCAACATAAAATACATAGATATAACCATATGACAATAAGTCTCATGACTAATACCTGAGAGCAAATGCAATGATGGAGCTGGGTTCTTTCTCACAGACTGCGATGGGTACCCGTTCATGTTCATACATTAAATAGTGTTTATCTGGATCACTGTTCAAATTTTTTTAAAAAATCAATTAAATAACTAAAAATAACATCAGAAGAAAACCAAATATAAATGCATTAACACCAGTAAATTAATTAAAATTAATTACCAGTAAATCTCAGGACAGTGATATTAACTAAATAATAGACAATAAGAATACGCTTAGTGATTCATGCTTATAATCCAAGTCACTAAGGAGGCTGAGATCTGAGAATTGCAGTTCAAAGCCAGCCTGAACAGACAAACCCAAGAGACCCTTATTTTCAATTAATTAGCAAAAAGCTGGAACTAGAGGTGTGGCTTATGTGGCAGACTACCAGCAGTGAGTGAAAAGGCCAAATGAGAGCAAGACACTCAGAGATCAAGCCCCAGCAATGGCACACCAAAACAACAAGTAAGCCAAAATATATGAAGATACTGAGAAGATAGCAAGAAAAACTTCTGAAGGCAGTTGGAAAATACCAGAAGTAGGTTTCAAATCAGGTTCTGGCCTAGTCACTCCCAACAAAGCTTTCTTTATTGTCAAGACTTTAGCCATATGAGTCTCAAAAATAACTCTAAATAAAAAAACTCTAAATGTACAATATTTTTTCTATTATAAAATTTGAAAAGGAAAGTATTTTAGGAATTGTGAAGAAAACCTACTATTAGACATAACAAAGTTGCTCTACTGTTATAACATAGAACTCAATGGTGACTCCATTTTAAATCAAATTTTGTTCCCCTGATTTCTACTCCTACATTCCTTCTCATTCCCAGTGAGCCCAACACAAAAAAATGTTCATTTAAAAACCTATGTAGGTTATTATAACTCATCATTACTGCTAGAACAGAAACACAATTCCAGTAGATTATGTACTTGAATTATCCCCTTATAACTAGCAATACATTTTTAAGACTATAAGATCAACATATGTAGCAGTACATCATATATACGAATTCACAAATATACATATATATATATATATACACACACTATGCAACATTATTTAATGCTTTCTTCTATTCATATATAATAATGATTACATGTCAGTAAATTATGTGTCAAATGACATCTCTTATATTAAATTTAGAAATCAATAAATACATATTTATAGAGGAAAATATAGCAAAATATGTAAGTAATAAATCTAGAGGTTTTTTTAGTTATAAGAAAATGTAAGATTCCACATAGAGCTCCCCTATGACCCAGCAATCCCACTTTTGGGCATTTACCCAAATGATCACAAACAAGACCATACTAAAGCTACCAGCACAACTATGTTTATTGCAGCATTATTTACCATAGCTAAGATATGGAACCAACCCAGATGCCCCTCAGTAGATGAATGGATCAAGAAAATGTGGTATATAAGAACAAATGTAAAAGTAAAGATGTAGTAAAAATGAACTGCTTGGTATTCATTATTCATGTATATCAAGCACAGCAGTAAACAAAAAACCCCCATGTATTTTAACTTTTTTTTAGATTTTTTTTTTTTTTGCTTTTGTGATTTTTTTTTTCTTTTTTGATACTTGCCTAACATGCAGGTGGCTGTGAAAATAGTTAACAGGAAAATAACTTGAGATGATGGCTAGCTTTGTTTAATGTTTTAGGAAATTTTCATGAACAATCCAAGCATAATTGTTAAAAACACATGTATTAAGTTCACGTAAGTGGAATAAAAGTTTTATGAATGGAAAAAAAAAACAAAATGTGGTATATATACACAATGGAATTCTATGCCTCCATCAGAAAGAATGACATTGCCCCATTTGTTAAGAAATGGAAAGACTTGAAAAAAATTATATTAAGTGAAGTAAGCCAGGCCCAAAGAAACATAGGTCCCATGGCTTCCCTTATTTGTAGTAACTACTATATGTCTGAGACAAGCAGAAAAGGTCAATAAGTTGATGTTAGGTGAAATGAACCCCAAGATAAGTATTCAAATGTTTTTCTTTCCTTGCAATTGTTTCTAACATATTTATAAGATGATTTCTTTGTTGCTTTGTATGTCCCTCCCCCACGGTATAACCCCTGCTTTCACTGTATTTGATTTTGATAATTTGTGGAGGGGAAGGGAAAAAACAAATCGTTTAAATAGGGATACAGGTGGACCCATTGCAACAATGAGATGTACAAGTTGTTATGTCAAAAAATGAACTTTACAACTTTGGCGGGGGTGGGGGGGTAGAAAGGAATGGGAAGGGGAAACAAAGGAGGAGACAACAATGCTTCATGAGAAATGTACTCATTACCTTGCCCATGTAATTGTAGCCCCTTTGTACAGTATTGTCACAATTTTTAAAAAAGTGGAAATATTTATATTTTAGAATGCATTAGACTAATTCTCACTTTTCCCTGAGAAGTCCATTACTAATGGAAATAGAAATAAGATTTATTTCATTCAAAGACTTTTAAATATAAAAGAGGAAAAGTAAAGTTTAATCTGTTTTTTTTAAAGAAAACATAAACATCCAATTAGCCATTACTTTTTTTTAATAATACTTACAAAGGAAATGGAATAGGATTATAGCTATTTCCTGGAAGCAAATTTGCAAAGATGGCTTTCATGGTGGACTTTTCCTTTACTTGGCTGTCTGTGGATCCCAACAAATGTCCATCAAACACATCTAAAGTAAAGAATACTCTATTTATATACTGACATTTCAGGAAGAATAAAAAGTAAAAGTGCCAATTTTAGTACTTCTTTTCCTTTGGGGCTGATATACACACATCCCATTAACAATTACATCTTAAATTTCTGACAGGAAAAAAAAAAAAGATTCTTAGTGGATAAAACAGAAAGTGATAGTGAAACACACACTGCATTGATTCCAAGGAGCAGGTCTTTGCCCTTACACTTTTACCTTCTCTGAAACAGAGAAGGTCCTACAAGCAATGATTCAATCAGGTAGCATCCATGAGGGAATGAGGTATGGTATGATCTAAACTGCTGTACCTTCAGAACCACTGGCTGTGTCAAGTTCAGAAGGTCCTCCTACAGACTGCTCAGCCAGGACTTCTGGTGGAGAAGGCAAATGGAGATGGGTAGAACTGGTGGAACTCTGACTGGATAGGGTAGTCAAGAAGCGATCCTCTATAGAAAACACAATTTAAAGAGTTATTTTAAAAACATTAAGTCTTAGCTGTTACCAATATTTTTAATGTTAAAACACATTTCTATTTCCTAAAATATAGAAATTTATTTTAAAAATTATTTAGGTTGTGTTGGTCAAGTCATAGAAAAACACATAAAAATCCAGAAAGGTTGTATGACTAAAACACAATCAAATCTAGACATATCAACCAATTCTGATTCTATCTAATATTTTCTTTCTACTATACCACAAAGTCTATCTAACTATCATTCAATTTAATAGTAACTAAAATTACAACACTGGGAAAAATTGTATGCTGATTCTGCAGAAAGGAATAAACACTAACTTATAATTTTTATAAAAAAATACCCAAAATGATTAAGTTCTTGTTCTATAAAGGTAATCTATGTGAATTCCTCACAAAGTTTCTATGATGTTACCAAGTAATTCAATGAAACACTATAAAAGACATCTTAAGTCCAGAAAAGACTTTAATGACATTACAAATAGAAATTATGTGTTCTAAGATGTTTAACAGTACATCTTAGAATGATTTAGAAATAAGCAAAACAAAAATAAAATTTCCATTTTCTTTTCTCTGTCTTTTTTTCCTTAACAGTACATCTATCCATATTTTACATGTTTCTATATCCTAATGTATCTTCTTACAATAAGCTATAGGATAGGCTGATAAGAACTACAAAAAAAAATGATGTCTATGTCTAGGAACAACTGCACCATGAAGAAAATGCTCAAAATATGCTTTTTATATACTAGGAAAATTGATAAACACTTGATATATTAAAAAATTTCTTTAAATACAATAGCAAGTTGACACTAAGATTCAATGTCCAACCTTTTTCTCCATTTTGAAGTCCTGGAGAAATATTCCGTGGAGATGTGTCCATTGCACTTATCTATAGAGAAATACATATTCTGCTTTAAAGAAATATTAAAATCACATTTTTGTTTTGTCTAAGCCAGTGAATCTTAAGGTTTGTTTTTTTTTTTACTCTCAGGACCTGTTAATACTCAAAAGTTAGAAAGTCTACAAATACTCAAAAGTTAGAAAGTCTCCAATAGCTTTTAGTTTCTCAGAAATTAAACCTAGAACTTTTCAATGTAGTAACTCATTTAAAAATAAATTCATTATATATAAACATGAGTATAATACTGATTAAATAAAATATACCTATTTTTCAAAAATAAAAAAATTAGTGACAGAATATCATTGCTTTAGCATTTTATAAATATCTTCTTTGTCTATTTAACTAGAAAATGCTAGATCCCTATCTGACTTCTGTATTTAGTATGTTGAAGTTAAAATGCTGACTTCATACAGACACACAGTTAATAAAGAGTAAACTTGTAGAACTGTATTTGAAGCCCGAAGAATCACACTTTGTGAAAATTGTTCTAAACAGTAGTTTACTTCTTGGCATTGAAACTATTAAAAATATAAGGATTGTCCATTAAGCCTAGAATTCTTTTTATTATCTCCTGGACCATCTCTATTCCTATTATATACAGATAACATATTTCTACAATAACTATCAGCCACACATACAATTTAATTAAAAGTCATTTTTATATTACTAATTAATCAAATCAGAGAGAACTCTCTGGGTACCTAGCTTCTTACAATATGCAACATGATAGTCTTAGTTTGTTAACTCAAAACCAGCATCTACTCCCTTAGCAAAACTTACTCTCTCCTTTGTGTTGTTCTTCATAGACTTATTTTTTTAATTTTTTTTTTTTTTTTGTCAGTCATGGGGCTTGAACTCTTGAGCTCTTCAGCTCAAGGCGAGCACTCTACCACTTGAGCCACAGCGCCACTTCTGGCTTTTTCTGCTTATCTGGTGCTGAGGAATCGAACCCAGGGTCTCATGCATGCAAGGCAAGCGCTCTACCACTGAGCCACCTTCCCAGACCCGACTTTTTTTAATAAGTTCTTTATTGTGAAAATACTGTACAGAGGGGTTACAGTCACATGAGCAAAGTAATGAGTACATTTCTTATCAAGCATTGTTGCCTCCTCCTTTGTTTTTCCCCTACCATCCCTTCCCTCCCACCTCCTCAACTACATTTCCCCCTCCCATACCCTCCTCACCTAAACTGCAAAGTTTTTTCAACATAGCACTTCATAGACTTTTTATACCTGGTAATAATCATTACCATGGGATCCCTGATTCCTATCAGCTTCTTTCTCAGTAGACAATGGATCATTACTATAAGAGCTGTGATTTTTTTTTCACAACTGAATGCCTTATAACCTAGAAAAATGTCCACTCCAGCCAGGTATGGTGGCTTATAATCCTACTATTTGAGAGGCTAAAGAGGTCTCACAGTGTGAGACCATACTTGGCTACAAACCCAGACCCTGAGGAATGAAGCAGAAAGAGAAGGAAAGACACAAGGGATGATGAAAAGAGAGCGGGGGCGAAGGGGGAAGAAGGGAGGGAGCATGGAAGGACACCCAATCCACAAGTGCAGAAACTGTGATATGAATAAATATAAAGCCAGTGCAACAGAATTTTAAATCAATTTTCAATCTTTCAAAAAGATGACTAAGAAGTAAGCCAGGCCCAAAGAAACATAGGTCCCATGGTTTCCCTTATTTGCAATAACTAGTATATGTCTGGGACAAGCAGAAAAGGTCAAAAGCTATGTACATATGACCATATAAGACGATGCTAAGTGAAATAAACCCCAAGATAGGGACACAAGAGGTTTTTTATCTTTGTTGCTGTTGTTTTCAATGTACTTACAATGTACTATGTGATTTTTTTGTTTCTTTTATATGTTCTTCCCCCATGGTATAACCCCTGTTTTCACTATATTTGATTCCGGTACCCTACATCTTGTAATTTTTATATATTTTTATAATTTGGGGAGGGGAGGGAAATAAAAAAATGCTAAAATAAGGATACAGGTTGACCCATTATAACAATGAGATATATAAGACACTATGTTAAAATGAACTTTACAACTTTGGGGGGGAGGGAGGAGTTGGGGAGATGGGGAAGAAGGGATGGTAGGGGAAAAACAAAGGAGGGGGTAACAATACTCCATAGGTAATGTACTCATTACCTTACTCATGTAACTGCAACCCCTCTGTACAGTATCTTTACAATAAAAAATATATTTAAAAAAAACAAAAACAAAAAAGATGACTAACTACTGAGTGATCTTAATACTTTTAATTCTGTCTACTTATTATAATCTAAAGAATTTCCACTATTAGCTATCATTCAGTATCTTCAGAGGGAAAGAAAAAGGCCATGAAGAGTCTGTGATAATCATTAACAGCCCTGGACTGGTTGACTAATACTAACATACAGATGATCTTCAATAACCTTATTCTTACCCTCTTCTAAACTTTAGGGAAATGGTGATTCCTACACAGTTATCTAAGGGATAAAGCAAAGTCTCTGCAGAAGGAAATAAAACACTAACATAATTTTTATAGAAAAATACCCAAAATGATTAAGTTCTTGTTCAATAAAGATAATCTATGTAAATTCCTCACAAAGTTTCTATGATGTTACCAAGTAATTCAATGAAACACTATAAAAGACATCTTAAGTCCAGAAAAGACTTTAATGACATTACAAATATCCAGTCAGAGTTCCACCAGAACAGAAGTCAACATTGCCAGCCTCTGGTACACACACACCTCCCTCCATCAAGTACCAATTTAGGTACTGGTTGATATGAAGGAATCTCACAAATATAGTTAAAATAGAAGTATATATAGGTCTAACATAATCATAAGCTCTTAAATCTGAGTATATAACTCAGAGATGGAGAAAGTAATTTATCTGATGCAAAAAGGGGCAATTGTTGTTGAGGTTTTAAAAAAAGAATGCTGGCAGTGCCCAAGACTTTAAGAATGATCTCTAGTCAATAACCATCAATAGAACAGCTCCGCCTTATCACTATTAGGAAATGAATTCTGCCAACAATCTGAATGAGTTTGGAAGAAGAGCCTCAAAAAAGACAAATGGCCTAGCTATAACTGTTGATCTGAAATTTGTGAGATTCTGAAGATAGTACTCAACCATAAAAAGTACGAAAAATTTAAATATTTTTGAATGCTAAGCAAGAGAAAACTAATAGTTAGAAAATGTCAATTAGGTTAATGAGTAGAATGTGCTCAGTTCAGAAACATTAAGAGCTTTTCGTTTAGGCACAGAGAAAGAACACACAAAATTGGAGTAAGAAAAATAAAAACCCTACTACTCTGAGCATATACATATTTTTCTTTGTATATCTTGCTGTCATTATTAACATTACCTTAGTAATGTTAGTAGATAATTTACAAATATTTTTTAAAAAATTATTTGTAATACATTTTGTTAAAGAAATCCAGGCACATATAACTTGAAACGTACTTTAAGATGAAAACCCATACTTAATATTAAAACATATTCAATGACCACTTCTTAACAGTAGTAAATAGAACTAATTGTATTTTTGTTGATGAAGGACCACACAAAAAACTACATATTACCTTGCTTTCTTCCCCTTGTCTCAGTCTTCCAGGACTTGGAGGAACTGAAGGCCGCTTTCTGCCTTTTTCCTGTTGGAAAAGGTCCTGCAACCTATAACCAAAGGTAAAAGAAAAATACAGTTTTAGTTCTAATATTCTGAATTATATTTGAATTATATTTTAAAGTTGTTTAACCTGAACTAAGTTCTGTCATATCAAATAATCAAAAGTACTTGCTAATATAACTATACTGTATTTGTAAAAGAATAGCAAATTACTATAAGGAAAAATATTTTTAAAAAATTTCTAAGCTGAGAGCTGGTGGCTTACACCTCTAATCCTAGCTACTTAGGAGCCTGAGATCTGAAGATCATGGTTCAAAGCCAACCTGACCAGGAAAGTCTGTAAGACTCTTATCTCCAATTAATCACAGAAAAAGCCAGAAGTAGTGTTGTAGCTCAAGCAGTAGAGTGCTAGCCTTGAGCAAAAGGAGCTTAAGGACAGCACCCAGGCCCAGAATTCAAGGCCCAGGACAGAAAAAAAAAAAAAAAGAAAAAAGAGAAGTATGTTTGTATGTGTGTCTCTATAACAATATATTTGAACTTTCTAACCTAAAGCCAATTATTATTAATAGCATACTAACGCTAATGATTCAAATGTGTCAAGTAAGCTATTTCCAACTTTGGTTTTTGTATCTTCATAAATGGACAATTAAAGCAAGGCACCAGTGGCTCACACCTGTGATCCTAGCTACTCAGGAGACTGAGATCTGAGGATCGCAGTTCAAAGCCAGCCCAAGCAAGAAAGTCCATGAAACTCTTATCTCCAAAATCACCAGAAAACTGGAAGTGGTGCTATGGCTCAAGTGGTAGAGTGCTATCCTTGAGTTAAAGAACTGAGAGACAGCGCCCAGGCCCAGAGTTCAAGCCCCACGACTAACAACAACAAAAACACATAAATGTATGATTAACAGATTGGCTTTTAAAGAATGAAGAAAAAGGGGGTAAGAACCCCCCCCCCAAAAAAACTCGAGAATAAATGTAACTATAATCAAAACTTTAAATTTTAAAATATCATGTCGGATGTTGACAAAAGATTGTAAAGTAGTACCTGTTATTCCAAGCTTGTAACACTTCACAGAGGCTTTGTTTCTTGGCAATGAGAGACTCAAAGATGGATTGCAGTTGCTGAGGGGTATCTACAGAGGAAGACATAAGCCTTGCTTGCATCTTCTCAATCCAGTTCTTGAACTCACCTTCTTCCATCTAGAAGGTAACAGATACAAATTTGGTACACAGAGGTCCTATACAGACACACAGTTAAAGACATTTCTAATAAATTAAATCAATTGGATTTTTTTATCAAAGCAATGAGTTACCTCTTTTTGTGCAAAGATATCTTCCATTTTTTCCTCTCTTGTTTTGCTAAACGTATCAGTTTTCAAAGATGCAAGTCTTTCATCAACAGCTAGATATACCTGTGCAACTCTTAAAATGAAAGGAAAGAACATTATTAACTTTAAAGGAGGCAAAAAAAACTTTGTCTCACATACATCAGGGGAAAATGTTATATACAAATAAAAACTGAAAGTTCTAATTTAAAAAAAATCACATATAATTTTGTTGAGAAAAAAAAGACCTAAAAGGATATACTTCAAGATTATAATTTTCTGTATGACTGAGAATTTATTTTTCAATACATTCCTGTATTATTTACATTTTTTCTCTTTTCACAGCCAGCATATAATGTACCATTAGAAAAATAAAGCTATTTACATTTTCAAAGAATGTTAAATTTGATCATTTAAACCAGCAGGGAGACCCATTGCAACAATGAGATGTACAAGTCGTTATCTTGAAAACAAACTTTATAACTCTGGTGCCGTGGGAGGGCATGATGGGGGGGGGGGAGGGGATGATTGGGTGGGAAGGAAGAGGATTGGGGGGAAGGATTGGATGGGGGGGCAGGGGGAGGATGGGAAAGGATGGGAAGGGGAAACAAAGGAGGAGGCTACAATGCTTGATAAGAAATGTACTCATTATCTTACTCATGTAATTGTAACCCCTCTGGTACAGTATTTTCACAATAAAAAAAAAAACCTCTCACCAAAAAAAAAAAACAGCTATAAATTGTAGACATTACTAAACAAAACTGGATGGTTGAAGAAACTGAAACTTACTTCTGAAAGAAGTCCTTGAGATCCTGAAGAAGGGACACTTTTAATGGAGCCTGACGTTTAATGAATATTTTGGGGAGTGGAACACATACTTCAAGAAGCCGGATGGGAGAATAACTGTGAGTTGAAAATACAAATAACAGAAAAATAATAAATATTTCAATACCTTGAGTCATATTCAGGTGGTCAATTAGATCCTAATGTAGCATTAGAGAAAATAAACCTATAAAATGACATTTTAAAACAAAGATATAGAAGATAACTATTAATCATTATAAAAATCTCCCCCAAGCCAGCTGCTGATGGCTCACGCTTATAATACTAGTTACTTAGGAGGCTGAGATCTGAGGATCACAGTGTGAAGCCAGGAAAGTTTGTGAGACTCTTATCTCCAATTAATCACAGAAAAAGCCAGAAGTGATGCTGTGGCTCAAGTGGTAGAGTGCTACCCTTGCACAAAAGGAGCTCAGGGACAGCACCCAGGCCCAGAGTTCAAGGGCCAGGACAAGTTAAAAAAATTCCCAATTGTGGAAAACTTTTCTGCTGCTTTATAGCTATAATGTGATACCATCATTTACCCTTTTGAGGCTATTCTCACCTGTTGGGAAAACAAAAATGACTTTACTATAAACCTTCTCTATGTATGAGGAAAGGGATGCCTCTTTATAATGAGCTTAGTCTTAAGTGTTCACTACCTCCCCAGATCATGAGTCTTCATGTCCTTTTCACCTGAGGTATGAACTAGTAAATGATCTGATCCAACGAAGTTTTATTGTTTAAAGTTCTAATGTAAAAAAAGTAATAAGCTCTAATTAGCAAATGTTTCCTGAGAGTGTATTATGGCCAGAAACTTCCAAAAATTCCAGCTCACATAATTCAGAAGTGACAAAGTTTGGTAATAAAATATATAATATTTAAGACATGTAAGAGTGTTATGGGAGAATAAAGAAAGAAAGAAGAGCATAAGAAGGTTGTTAGGGCAGGTAAAATCTGAACCAACACTCACAGGAAGTAGGAACACAGCAGGCAAATATCTGGGGAAAATGTATCTCATGAAAGAAAGATCAGGCCCAAGGCTCACAGGCAGAACCTATGACGTAGCTGAGGCCCAGCCAGAAAGCCAGGGATGCTACACCAGAATGAACAAGGAAACAGTAGTAAGAGCTAAGAACAGAGAGGCCTTGGGCAGCCAGAGCATACAGGAGCTTACTTGCCAGTAAAAGGATTTTGGTTTTCACTCAGGGCAAAACATATATCCTTTGGAGGAGTAAACTAAGCCTGATTTCCTTTAACAAGATCATCTGATTGTTGCAATGAGCATCAGCTACAGTAGGGGTAAGACAACAAGAAGGCAGGCTGAGACTACTACAATCATCATAGGGAAAGACAGTGATGGGAAAGGCACGCTGGGAGTGGTGAAGTGTCAGAGTCTCAATCTGTTCTCAAGGCAGAGACAGAAAGCATTCACAAATTATTTAGCACCATAATAGTGGCTATCCTTTGAACATAGAATTCTATCTTTACCAGAGTAATTTATTACCTTTATGCTAATTAGTACCTTATCCAAAACTGTGACACTTTCAGATGTCAAAACAATCATTAAGAGTAAGACCAGTAGTAGAAAACTGACCATGGTTCAAATCATGAATCTATCTTACTACCTTGATAAGTAAATGAAATACAGTATCATTATCCTCATGTACGACATCTATAAAGTTTGTAAGTAAGGATAATGATCGTTTCTTGTTTCTTAGGGAAGGAGTAATTAATACTAAAGCTATTAGCAGAGTCTGGTCTGGCCCTGCATATTTGCGAGGGTGAAGGTGGGGAATGACACAGATTCACTCACAGATTCAATCTAGTAATAAGGAACTGTTAAAAAGCCTTCAAAGAATGTATAATATATAACAACCCTTTGTCTTCTTACCTGAATGATGCCACCATTTGGTTGTAAGAGAAATACTGGTGATAATCATGGTGGATAGAGTGACCACAGGGCTCAGCATTGGCTCTCCGTGTGTACTGGTGCCCATAAAACCTAAGTTCCAGGTACTTTGCAAATGACATAGACCAGGATTCATTGGATAGAGCAAAAACTGGTGTCACCTGGAGTTCAGGAAAAAATGATTGATATACTATAAGAAAATCTCTTCTTAAGTGCATTTTCTAATACAAACAAAATATTCTGGCTGAAGAAAATCAGAGGAAAAAAAACAAACTCTTTGAAGGTCATTGAAGAAAGAGAGCAATGACTATATGTTTGCACTCTTTCTATGTGTAAATACATAGATAAAAGCCAGTATATTTGTTTAAAAACACTTTTTTGTAATTAACTTCATAAGTTCTTTATCTACTTAGCAATGTATCATCTTTTCCCACGTGAACATTCTTTTTACAATTTTTTAAATGGCCTCAGAGTATCCTCTCCTATAGGGTGCATGCATCTAATGTGCCAGACACAAGATTTTCTATTTGAACTATCCTCCATAAACATCCTTGCCTACAAGTACTTAGAAATAGCCAAAATTATTTCCTTAGAATAAATTAGTAAAGGTAGAAATCAGTTCATCAAAAGGCATTGGGTTAATGGCCTTGGATACTTTTACCATATTCACTTCTCAAAAACTGTACTGACACAAACAACAACAATACATGAGAACAGCAACCTCCCTACTTTCTTACTAATCCTAGGAATTAATTACAAATCTTTGAAATATAACTTATTTTCTTTTCCTGTCATCACTGGGGTTTGAACTCAGGGATTTGTGTTTTTCAGGCAAGCACTCTACCATATGAGCCGTGACCCTTTTTGCTTGGTTAAAGATAGGGTCTTGCTTTTTGCCTGGTCCATGATTCTCCTATTTACACTTCTTGCAGTGGCTGGGATGATAGGTTCATGCCACCATATCCAGCTTTTCTTGTTGGGAGGGGTCTTGAGAGTGTTTTGTTCAGTGGGACCTAGAACTTTGATCACATCCCTCTCATGAATCCAAGAACTGGTTGAAATAGGGTCTCATAAACTATTTGTTCTGGTTGGCTTCATGAAGTACAAATTGTGTGTGTGTGTGTGGTTGGCTTCATGAAGTACAAATTGTGTGTGTGTGTGTGTGTGTGTGTGGTTGGCTTCATGAAGTACAAATTGTGTGTGTGTGTGTGTGTGTGTGTGTGGTTGGCTTCATGAAGTACAAATTGTGTGTGTGTGTGTGTGTGTGTGTGTGTGTGTGTGTGTGTGTGTGGTTGGCTTCATGAAGTACAAATTGTGTGTGTGTGTGTGTGTGTGTGTGTGTGTGTGGTTGGCTTCATGAAGTACAAATTGTGTGTGTGTGTGTGTGTGTGTGTGTGTGTGTGTGTACCTAGGGCTTGAACTCAGAGCCTAGGCACTATCTCTGAGCTTTATTCCTCAAGGTTAGCACTCTACCACTTGAGCCACAGTTCATTTCAGGCTTTTTGGTGATTAATTGGAGATGAGAATTTCATGGACTTTCCTGCCCTGGTTAGCTCTGGACCATGAGCCTCCAATCTCAGCCTCCTAAATAACTAGAATTATAGGCATGAGCCATAGTCACCTGGCTCACACACACACACACACAATTTGTACTTCATGAAGCCAACCACACACACACACACACACACACACACACACACACAATTTGTACTTCATGAAGCCAACCACACACACACACACACACACACACACACACACACACAATTTGTACTTCATGAAGCCAACCACACACACACACACACACACACACACACACACAATTTGTACTTCATGAAGCCAGGTGATATGGTATCTTTAAAAATAGAAAAAGAAGAAAAAAGAGGAAGACATTTTCCTAACTGATACTGGGTTGCATTTTTACTTTGATTACTAGTTAGTACAATTCATCTGCGTATTTGTTGGACATCTGTATTAAATTCTTTTGTCTTTGCCCATTTTTTTCCATTACTGTGGCGTAAAGAAATCTACCATTAAGTATTTTTATTTGGTCATATATGTTGTAACTTTTCTTACTTTATAAGTGTGTCTGCTGCCCTAGTAATCAGAAGTCATTAATTATTCTCTTTTCATCTGTAGGGCCAAGCACAATACCTGGCACATAGGTGTTTCTAAATGTCTGCTCAATGAATAAATATAATTCAGAATTATTGATACAATCTCAATGTATTTTCTGAACAAGGCCTCAGTATTTTCACTTAATGACTGATATATTCCTAAAATATAATCTTCAAAAGGCAAATATTAGATTGAACATATAGTACAGGAAAAATTTTTAAAGGGCCCAATAACAATAAATTGCAAAGTGGTATAGACCACTTATTCCCTACCCCCAAAACAGAACTATACAAATAAAGGTATGTCATATGAAAGTTACAGTAACAGAGTATATTTACCTGTTTACAGATTCTGCACCAAGAATATGTGAGAATTGTATGCTGGTATCCAGGTACTGGGGAATCCAACTCCTTTAGGATTATCTGCACGCAGCCTTGGCCATGGACAAAACGCCGAATGTGATGCACCATAGGGGTATCACAGAACATGCTAGGGCACTGATAAGAAGGCCTGTGACAAACAGAGAAACTCAGAACCATTGTCAAGGTATCTCAGCATCTCTCTGTTCTTTTTGAGTTGATGTCCTTATTCTTACATGACACCTCAACATCTCAAGCTATATTTTTCTAAGAATGTAACAGTGCTAAAACTTAAACTGAGGTCCAGTACTTTCCTTATTTTGCATTTGAATCACTGTAAAAACAGACATCCTGAAGAAATCTTAGGTATACTAGAGTAATTAGATAGGCAATTATTCAGGAACTTACTATGACAAGATATCCCAGTCTGAACATGAAATAGAGTCTGTATGAATTTCTATGATCTGGTATGAAAGTGAGGCACACAAAGTACTTGATACTCACTCTTCTATGATTCTGCTTAAAATTCTGGACTTCAAAAATGGGTAATAGTAGCTCATGTCTGTAATCCTAGCTACTGAGGAGGCTAAGATCTAAGGACCAAGGTTCAAAGTCAGCTCAGTCAGGAAAGTCTATGAGACTCTTACCTACAATTACTCTCTTACCTCCAATTAGTCACCAAAAAAAAAAAAAAACCAAGAGTGGAGCTGTGGCTCAAATGCTATAGGGGTAGCCTTGAGCAATAGCAGCCAAAGGACACTGCCCAGGGCCTGAGTTCAAGCCCCAGGACCAGCACACAAAAAAGTGTAATGGATGGAACTGAAGGCATGGCTCAAGTGATAAAGCATTAGTCAAGAGTAAAAAAGCTGAGCAAGAGAGAGGCCCTGAGTTCAAGCTCTATTACCAGCACACAAACACAACAAACATGGGCAAATAAAGCATAAGGTGGAATTTAGCTCTTACCTGAAACAGTATCGTTCTAAAAATATTCCTAATGTAAGATCATTCTTTCCATAAAATTCCATTGTTACAATCCTAAAATAAGACATCAGTTGTAGAAATACGTCATAAGAATTATGACAAAGTAAATACTTCAAGAGTCTACATATTCTGATTATTAAATGAAGTATTAAAGCAGGTAGTATTGGTTTAACAATGAAGTGTTATATCAGGTAGTGTTTACTGCCACCATAGAATAGGTTTCACTGCATCCTATCAAACAAGTTTAGACTAGCCCCATTATATGTACCTTTCCTGGTCCATTAGGATCTTATAAAACTAATGAAAATGCATAAACCACAAGACTGATTGAGTAAAACTTACACGTATTAGGAAGAGGCAAAAGTTTTCTTTACAAAACTTGAATCCCTGTCAACATAAAAGAGGGCTCTGTTTCCTGCTACCTAATCCCTACCTTTATTAAGCATGAAGAACAACAGTTCTTATTCTAACTAAAAGCCAATTCTTAACTTTATGTCTAATTTATAAATGCCCACAAATAAGAGAGTTTGGCCATATTGAAAGTCATATCTTATGTATTGTACTGAGGAGAAAATTCTTATAAATTTCCACATTCCCAAGTCTGAAGTATACCTGTTGGAGCTTTACTCTTCTAGAAGAATTGTTGATCTTACCGCTGTAAATATTTTTCTCTTGGCAATAGTACAACAAAAGTACTGTGAGTTTCTACAGTGCTTGCTTGTATGTGTGGTGCTAATGATTACACCCACAGCTTCAGACTTACTAAGTACAAACAACTGAGCTACATCCTAAATCCCTCCATATTACTTTTTCAACTGAAGGTAAACTATGAAATATAAAGCTATATAAGACTACATGAAATTTTTTTGCTATTGTTTGAAATATTGTAACTTTATAAAATATATTGTTTCTATTAATTTACCTGAAACTAAGTCTTAAAGTAAAACCTATTAAGGTTGAGGGGGGCATAATACCGCTCAGTAGTAGAGTGCATGGCTAACATGCGCTAAGTCTCAAGTTCAATCCCTAACACAAAAATAGTGAAGCAAAAATGACTATCTTTGAAAAATGATGCCTGAAGGAAAACCTGCATGTTATCAACATAAACTGGTTGTAAATTGTAGAAATAATGAACTAAATTTTTGTTTTTGTTTTTCAAAACTAACTTCTGTCAATTGTCTCACTTTTATAAGTAGAACTTCTCTTCTATATCTCATTATTTTTTACTTATACCTAACATACTCTCATTCACCTCTAACCAAAGACAACCTTTATATTTACTTCACAATTTGTAAGTCTTTTTGATTCCTTTTTTTTTTTCTTTTTTTAGAAGCCATTGGAATTTTGTTCCTAAGTGCAATGATGTAGTTGGAAAAAAGGATCCTACCAAGGACTGACACAGGCACTGGGAGCATTGCTGGATTGGGCAGATGAGCTGCTGAAGAGCACACACAGCCTCTGGTGGTTAGCAGGATTCAGACAATCCACCTGAAGAAGGAACATATAAGCAACTGAAACTGAATACGCACTCCCATACCATACATGCTTCTAACATGGAATACATTCCTCTGTAGTAATAAAGCTTCCTATCGTAACTACAAGCATTCTGGTGAAGATTTAAAACTGTAAGAAACTAGAAGTGGAGCTGCCAATCTTGAGTATAAAAGCCAATCAAGTGAGGCCTTAAGTTCAAACCCCAGTACCAGCACAGGAAAAAAAAGAAAGGAAGGAAAGAAGAAAAGAAGGAAAGAAGGAAAAAAGGAAGGAAGGAAGAGAAAGATAGAAAGAAAGAAAGAAAGAGAAAGAAAAAGACAGAAAGACCGACAGACAGGACACTGGGTCTCTTGGGAAGGATGATCTCAAAACCTTAGCTTAAACTTAAAAATTCAAAAGGACAGGCTGGGATTGTAGCTCAGTGGAAGAATGCTTGCCTAGCATACTTAAGGCCCTGGGTTCAACCCCCAGCACAGCAAAAATAAATAAAATAAAAATACACACAAAAAAGCCTAAATAGATTGTTTTCTTAAATACTCATTATTTTTATAAAAATCTCATTAAATTATCTTACAAGAACAAGTTAACAAGTAAAAAATCAGCAGCACCCCTATTAATTACCTCCATGACTACCAGTGAAACTGTATGTCTTTTTGTCTTATTAAAGAATTACTACACCTCACCTAAAGATTTTGTTAGCTTTATTACTGTCATTATCAATGTGTCCATAAACAAATCTTTTTAAATTACTCATACCTTTTATTTACCTAAGCATTACCTTTCTATAAAAAAAAAAAGGGCTACTGGTTAAATAATGTAAAGTGTGTCATGTTAAAAAATAAATGAATTTAACATTTTTTTCAAAACATATCTATTTCCTACAATCTTCTATGGCTCTTTCCCATTGCTACTAACAAAAGAACCAAACAGGTATGGTGGTGCACAACTGTAATCCCAGCACTTGGGAAGTTGAGGCAAGAGGTTCCCAAGTTCCAGACCAGCCTAGGTTTTGAAACAAGATGCTGTCTCAAGAGGGGGAAAAAAAAAAATCAAGGATGCATCACCACATCTAAGCCATGCTGACAGAATTTATAAGCACACTTCCCCTTACATCAGGGCTCTTTCTTTATTATAAGAATCCCAAAGCCCACTTACTTCATGATCCTACTTTATATTAGAAGCTAGGAGATTCATGGGTGGGCAAGGTAGGGTAGTGTAGGGCAGAGTCCGGTAGGGTAAGGTAAGGTAGGGTAGGATAGGATAGCTTAAGGTAGGGAAGGAGCTAAGAGCTAGGATAAGACTGGGATAGGGCTAGAGATAATAGTAGGAATAGGACAGAGAGCACAGGAGAAGACAATGTTTAATAAATTGGCATGCACTTTATCATACTAATATATTTCAACCCTGCCATAGCAGTTTTTCCAACACATTCTAAATTTATAAGAGCACCCAAAAGTTGCCTGGCTTACCTTTGTCGACCACACTGCATCACCTGGAATGAACCCTCTCTCTTCATCACCCTCAGTTTTGTTTCCTGATTTGCAACTTGCAGTACCTGATGCATCCTTTGAGTGAGCAAAAGGGTCTGAATATTTTGACTGAATTCTTCCTCCTCTGGCTCGATAATCAGCCAGCATTCTACCCAAACTCTGGCTATCACCCAGATGCTCAGCAATCCTGGTGCTCAGTAGCTCATGAGAGGGCAAGACTTGAATAGACTTGGCCTGGACACTTCCATTCATACCCTGAAGTCCAGAGAGATCCCTAAGCAGCTGTTTCTTCCTCCTGCTCTCCATTTCTTTGACCTCTTTATTGAGAAGAGGAGACCAATAAATCTGCTCTGGAAAATAGTCTCGAGTAGAGCACCTCATCCCCTTTTCAGTTAAAAGAAAAGGTTCCCGGAATGTTATAACAGGGGAGATACAGAGGATCACATCTTTTAATTCCTGTTTAAAGGCCAAAGAATAAGTCTTCCGGTTATCTTCACAGGAGGTGACTTGCTCAGTAACATACAATCCAGTGTCATCCTGTAGAGGGTCTCGAAAGGCTCTCATCTGGCTTTTGGGATCCTGTTGATCATCTGTTGGACGCAAAGTCTCTGGCTGTTCACTGACTACAGTGTCCTGTTGGTCCACGTGGACTGGCAATAATGATTCAGGTACTGATTGAAAGAGAGCACAGGGGATTCCTGCTGGGCAAGTAGCGGTGGCATATTCTTGGTGCTTCAAAGAATTAACAGCCTGTGGAACACTTTTATTTTCTTGCTCACTCTTCTCAAAGGTAATCCTTGATTCCAGAAAATTGCTATCATCAGAGGACAGAGAGTCAGGAAAGCAGTCAGGATCCCGGGGGAGGGAGCTTCCGCTACACTGCTCCTGTGTGGCCTCCTCATCCCCTTGTCCCTCAATAAGAGAATGGAATGAAGGGCTCTGCATTAATGTAGGAGGCATAGCAAATTCATCCATGAGGAAGGAGATTTCGAGTTGAGAATGATAAGCTACACATATCATAAATATTAGGATCTCTTTAACTCGAGCCAACTCATAATCAGAACCTCCTCTGAGCTTAACTGTACAACCCAGGTGCTGGGGACAGCCCTCAAAAAACATCAGCGTTTTGGTTTGTTCTACAAAGAAACAAACAAAAAATTAAGAGGCTTAGATGACAACCCAGAAGTACAGTCAGAATTAATTCACAATATTAACATCTACATAAGAAAAAGCCCTTGTGGGAATAAGACCACAGATACTTATCCTTTCTTCACCGCGGCTAATAGATATTTTCTAAGTACTGTAGTACTGCAATGTGTATTAGAAAGTAGTTTATTTCTTCAGATCCCCATTATCAAATGAATTTTTGCTAAGGGTGACTCACCATTAGGCAGCTGAAATATCTGCATATAAAATTTGTGACAAGTACCCAGTTGAGGTTTCGTGAGTAGCTGGTCCATGGACATCACTAAATCACCTTGTGTCATCCGGCTGATCCGTTCTAAAACTTGCTACAATCAGAAAAACATTACATTACAAAATTGGATATAATTAAAAACCACATGAACTTGAAAAAGTAACAGGAAAATTAAAAACCCTCCCAATAAATTTCCAAAATTTTAATAAATAATTCTAACAAAAACTTTTCGCTCCAGACTGACAAAGAAACAAACTGCAGCCTGAGAATTTTCCTGCATTCTGCAGGAAAGCTTTTCAAGGAAAAGAACATTTCTGCTCACATCATTCCCCAACCCAAGTAAGAACCAACAAATACATACTCATTAAGTAATGTCCACACCATGGTTGGCATTACAGATATCTATAATAAGTGTAACAAAAATAACCACACTTCCTTCCCATATGAGATTCTCCAATCTTAATGATGAAATAGCTACCATGCTTTCTGTCTCATTTTCAATGAATATGGTGCAGCAAAGAAATATTCTTGCATATCTACCATATGTGAATACAAATTTAAACGCTGTAATTTTTAAAAAGTGATATAAAAATAGAAAAATAAGAACACTTACTGACTTTACATTAATGACCAGAGTAATGCCATGTTCCAACAACATATCCTGGGCAATTCGAGACACTGTTTTCTCAACTAGAACCAATGTAGGTCGAACATCAACGATTCGTTGAACATAATTCTTCAAAAATTCTCTTTCCTAAGTTAGACAAATCAGAAATATTATATCTAGTATGATTCAGGATCTGGACATATTAAAATACCATGATTGGGGCTGGAAGCATGGCTCAGATGGTAGAATGCCAGTAAAGGAGTAAATCATCAGGAACCTAGATCGAGTCTCAGTCTCAAAACAACAACAAAAAAGAAAATAACAAGACAGTTTGAAGATTATTATCACATCTAATTTTTTTATCCATACATAAGTCTATAACCAAATAAATTCAAATATACCAAGAATTTCAATCATCATTCTAAATACTTATTATACTAAAAAGACATCTTTGATTTTTAATTCATAATAACCTATAATACAATACCAACCTCTGAGATTTCTTGATTTTCTTTTAAACCAGAAGAACAACAAAACCTAACTTTACAACCTTCACAATGGAAACAATTTCTAAGCATCTTTAATATAGTTATGAATTGCCTTCTTAATCCTGAAGCCAACTAGGATATATCTTTTTCTGGCTATCAGGAAAAATAACTCTCCAGAAAATGTACTTCAGCTACTTTCTAATTCCAATCTCCCAATAGATCATATTGTTTTATCCATGATAGCTATAGCTAAAGATAGAATACAATGCTTCACAATTTCATCACAAAGGGTTCGTTTCAAACCAAAGACTAACTAATAACACAATGAGGATGACAAAATGCCTTAACTTTCATTTCCTTAACTTCTGGGCTCCACAAAGGAGACAATAAAAAGTGAGCCTATTTGTAACTTCTATTCTGTGTACCCAGTGTTTTTTGTTGGTTTTGGTTTGGGGGGGGGTTTTGGTAGTGGGGGCTGAACTCTGGGCCTGGGCGCTGTCCCTCAGGTCTTCAGCTCAAGGCTAGTGCCCTACCACTTGAGCCACAGCGCCACTTCCGGCTTTTTACTGCTTATGGTACTGAGGCATTGAACCCAGGGCCTCACCTGGGTTCAAGGTGAGGCAAGCACCCTACCACTGAGCCACCTTCCCAGCCCCCAAAGTGTTTTCCAAGCAAGACTATATTAATGTTCAGAGTCATAAAGAGGTTTTTGTTTGTTTGGTTTTTTTTTGTCAGTTGTGGGACCTGAACTCTAGGCCTGGGCACTGTCCCTCAGTTCTTCAGCTCAAGGCTAGCACTCTACCACTTGAGCCACAGCACCACTTCTGGCTTTTTCTGCTTAGGTGGTGCTGAGGAATTGAACCTAGAGCTTCATACATGCAAGGCAAGCACTCTACCACTGAGCCACCTTCCCAGCCCCCAAAGTGTTTTCCAAGCAAGACTATATTAATGTTCAGAGTCATAAAGAGGTTTTTGTTTGTTTGGTTTTTTTTTGTCAGTTGTGGGACCTGAACTCTAGGCCTGGGCACTGTCCCTCAGTTCTTCAGCTCAAGGCTAGCACTCTACCACTTGAGCCACAGCACCACTTCTGGCTTTTTCTGCTTAGGTGGTGCTGAGGAATTGAACCTAGAGCTTCATACATGCAAGGCAAGCACTCTACCACTGAGCCACCTTCCCAGTCCCTCACCAAGAGGTTTTTTGGTATTTTGCTTTTTGGTCTTTTTTTCCTCCTTTGCCAGTTTTTGTTTTCTGTACCTTTTGTCTTATATGTAAGTTTATCTGTCTTTGGGAGGGTAAAGGAGAACACAGGAATGATGGGACAAAGGGCTAAAAAAATGCAGCAGTGATACTCACTAGACACTATGTTGAAAATGAGCTATACAACTGGTAAGGGGAGTGGTCAGGAGAGAAAAACTGGGAGGAAACAAAAGAAGAGATGACACTGTTCAAAAAGAAATGTACTGGGCTGGAAAGGTGGCTCAGTGGTAGAGTGCTTGCTTTGCATCCATGAAGCCCCGGGTTCAATTCCTCAGTACCATATAAGCAGAAAAAGCCGGCAGTGGCACTATGGTTGAAGTGGTAGAGCATAAGCCTTGAGCTGAAGAGCTGAGGGACGGCGCTCAGGCCCAGAGTTCAGGTATCATGACCAAAAAAAAAAAAAAAAAAAGAAAGAAAGAAATTACTAATTACCTAATTTATGCAACTATAACTTCTCTGTACATCACCTTTACAATAACAACTTTTAAAAAAAGAATGCATGGGTTTATTCACTGCACAAAACATTACATTATAAAAAGTACAAAAACATTACAAAAAGTAATGTATTTTCTATGAAGTACACTTCTTCTACCCTTTCTTTGTTTTACTGATAGAAACTATTTATTTCCAGTGGGCATGATGGTGTACTCCTAGAGTACCAATAGCTGGGGCACTGACAGGCTCCCAACTTAGTCATAAGTTTTAGACCACCCTGGCTACACAGTGTGACCCTATCTCCAAACAAATTTTACATTTTCCAATTCTGCCTTTATTGGCAATATGGAGGGATTTTTTTTCCTGAAGAAGAAGTTCCTACACTGTTCACTAAATTATAACTTAATAATACTTAATTTTTTATTTCTGCAGCTCCAATTAAGTATAATTAAATTTCTAAGCCAGACATGATGGCAAATACCTATAATCCTAGCACTTGAGGCCCAAAGATCTCAAGTTTAAGTCTAGCCTGATTTATACAACAAGACCATGTCTGAAACAAAAGTTTTCTGCCTTGGGTACCAGACTAGCAATAACTGTCCTCTGTTTCAACTCCATTCAACTATGGCTATATAGGATGTCTATTCTGAGTCTAGTCAGTTAAGTGTTAGGAGGTAGGCCAATGAGCACAGTGGATCAGAGCAGGCCAAGAGATCTAATGTAATCAGCCTTGTGAAGACATAATAAAGTCAGTCACAACCTGATAGACAAGTAAGTACTCTTCCACATGAGTCACACCCACCCACTCTTTCTGCTTTAGTTCATTATTATCTAAGACAGTCTCACACTTTCCCCAGGGCCAGCCTTGAACTGTAATTCTCCCATCTCCACATCCCTGGTAGCTGGAATTACACATGGGCAACACTAAGCCCTGAAATCATGTTTCAATACATATTTGTCCCAAACCAAAACATTCCTCTTTAACATAAAAAGACTTAAGTTTATTAACCTGTTGCAAGAATGGAGTCATAATACATAAATTAAGGTATAATTGTGTGTGTGTATGTGTGTGTGTGTGCTTGAACTCAGGGACTGGGTACTGTCACTGGGCTCCAGGCTAGTGCTCTACCACTTAGGCCACAGCTCCACCTCTAGCTTTTTGGTGGCTAACTAGAGATAAGGGTCTCACAGATTTTTCTTTTCCAGTCTGGCTATGAATCTCAATCCTCAGATCTCAGTCTCCAAAGTAACTAGGATTACAGGTGTGAACCACCAGCACCCAGAGCTGAAGTATAACTTTAATAAATAATATCTGTAGATTACAACTAGCCTATTTCACCAAATCCAAGACATACATATTTTTATTATACACATTAATTTTATGTATTTTAATTTCTCCACAACCAGGATGCATCAAACTATCAATCCAATTGTTATCTAACCCTGCACATGGGCTGGGATGGTGGTAGAACTCATGAGGAGCAAGTGTCGAGCCTTGGGTTCAATCCCCAGCACCAGAAACAAGACTCAGCATTAAAATATCTTAAGTTCCCTATACAAGAATAATTATGTTTCTCATTATTCCTCATAAGTTCTCTATTAAAAATAGCAAATCAGAGCAAGAAAAAACTGATATAAATCTAATCAAAACCCTTTATTTTTGCTGATCAACACAGTCAAATTATACAAGAAGCTTCCAGGTAACCGACCTTATTAAATAATACCACAACTCAGTTTTACTTATTCATATCTATGAATTCAGTACAAAAGTGATTGTTCCTTCAAACAATGTGAGTACTTATAAATTTTCAAAACTTTTCCCAGTTTCCTATTTCTGGAACTGGGTATGTTTCCCTACAATAAAGTATTTACATTTCTGAAAACCTCCTGTTTCAAATGATCTATGGGACATAGGGCTTGAGTCAGAACACTTAAAAACCAACCAACTTCACATCAATGGCACTAACAAAATAATTAGGTGAGTTATCAAAGAATATGAACAACACTGGCAAATAGTTCAGCATGGATAGAGACTGTCCTGTGGGAAATTTAAAATGCACAAAAACAAATGCAACAGTACAGTAGAGATGAAACTCTAGGCTGGGGAGTATGCCTCCCTGGGGAGCAAGTCCAGCAAGAAGACACTCACTTTAAACTTTTTAAAACACCAATAGAAAGATTTGCATTGGAGATGATCCAAGGATGTTTTCTTTTCCAGATGAGAGTTACAATCTTACTCCAACTATTCCAAAAATCCTTGCTTAGGAAAAAAAAAAAAAAAACCTACAAAGAAACTAATGCAATTTCTATCTGGTATTATTCCTCTACCTGCCAACTACATGCAAGTTTGCTGATGTTCCAGAAGTGAATATAGTCATACCGTATTAAAACTAGAGATTCTACTTGGGATCTGAAAAGTTGAAGAAATTTGGCCAGTAAATCAATGGCCCAAACAAGAAAGAGAAACAAACCAGAATTTACAGTTTTACTTTTTCCTTCTATATATAGCCAGTTATGTGTTCCTTTACACACTTTGTAACCTTAATGTATGACCGAGATTTTGGTAGACTAATTCTAAAGTGAAATACATAAAAGTGCACTTTAAAATAAATCATGGCGTGTAACAAGTTTCCTTTTTAAATACTAAGGGATGGCAAACATCATAGTAGACAAACATTCTCCCAAATTATTATTTTCATTAATAAGTTCTTACCTGAAGCACAATAGGACCAATGCAAGTAAATTTAGTTTCTTCTCTGTAGAGATACTCAATGGAACACTTCAACAGAAGAATTTGGGGATTCTTAATACAAGAATTCATCTACAAAAAAAAAGCAGTTCGCTAAAGCTATTAAAGGTTTATACTTCAGATGACTTTCAATCATAACTTTAAATTTGTACTGTTCATAATTCCTAACTTAAAAGTACTTCACAACCAGGCACCAGTAGCTCATCAGGTGGGATGAGGTTGGGATCTGAAGACAGAGGTTTGAAGCTAGCCCAAACAAACAAATCCAAGAGACTCTTATCTCTAATTAACCATCAAAAACTGGAACTGGAGGTATGACTGAAGGGGCAGAGTATCAATCATGAGTGAAAAGCTGAGCAAAAGTACAATCCCTAAGTTCAAGCTCCAGTAGCACAAGAAAAAAAAGTACTTGACTAACTTCACTATATTAGTGTAATTACACTCCCTTTAGGTTCTTTTGGGCTAGCCTCTTTTCAGTTTTCAAAGTAAATAAACTTGCTTTTCAGATTAGTACAAAATGCTTCAAAAACTGACTCTTTATTATTACTAGCTTAACCTCTATACACATAACCATTTTTTAAAGTTATTTCTATTATTGTAAGAAGAGATGTTATGACATGGGTTGGGGTAAAGTCTTACAGGCAATCTATTTCACAATTTCAATTTTTCCAAAATTCAAAAGAAGGGGATTGGAGGCATGACTCAGCTGGTAGGATGCCTGCCAATGAATGGAAGTGTCATGTACTGAGTTCAAGTCTCAGTCTCAGACAAAAAAAAAAATTAAGTGGAGTAAAAAAATTTAAAAATGCCTCCTCTAAGCATGCTTTTATCAATCGTTAATCAAGCAAGCTAAATTGGGTAACACGAAGTTAAAAAAGAAAACCTGAAAGCATTTCTAAAGAACAGAGTTGAACAATACACTCCAACCATACAAATAAAGCTAAAGACAGAATAGCTTGAATCCTATAATAAAAGTTTCAAACTGACCAAGCTCACAGACTATGAACTGGCAAACAGTTCTGAGAACAGAGACTAAATAGGAATCTATATTCAGGACTCTTGGCAACAGCAAATTAAAGACTATCACTAAATATGATTAGTGGGAAAAAAACAGTAATTCATGCATATGTTTCTTCCACACCCACCTATGATTTTCTTCAACTCGTTGGAGAATGTAACATATATACCTCTTAATTCAATAACCATAATTTAATTAGGATTTAAATACTACTTACAAAAGATAATATTGTTTTAGTAACACTATATATGAGGATGCCAAATGATTTTGGATCAATGCAATAAAATACTGTTTTATAATAAAACATACTTTTATTTATGATCATTAAAATTTTTCTGAAGGCTAAATGCCTTACAGTTAGCCCTCTATATCACAATTTCCCTTACAGTCAACCCTCTATATCACAATTTCCCTATCTGTGAACTCAATCTAGGGATTCAATCTACTGCAGACAGAAAATATCGGACAGAAGAATACTGGCTCTTACAAAATATGATCAGATAATTTCTTCCTATCATCATTCCCTAAATAAAACATCATAAAAACTATTTGCATGCCATTTAACTTGTAGAATAACTAATCTATAGACAATTTAAATTATATAGGAAAGTGTTTATATTTGAATGCCATACCATTTTATATACAGTGCTTGAGCATCCTCAGATCCCCAGGGGACCTTAGGACCAATCACCCATGGAAACCAAAGGACAACTAACTGTGTTAGTCTTCACTTACAAGAATGAAACAGACTATGGGACTACAGTCCAGTCATCTAATTGCTCAGGCTAGAATTTGCCTCAACTTTTGCTATACCAAAATCAGTGTCCCCAGAGATGAGGACAGAGTATCTCTAGGTTTCTTAAAATTCCTTCTGGTGATTCTGAAGCATACCAAGGTCTACAAACATGGATGTGGATCAATGGCTTCTGAAAACATGAGATCCGACAAATGACATTGGAAATATGTGAAATGCCTGTCCACATTAAATGCTGTACCACTCTTTCTCTCTTTATCTTTTCCATACTCTTATTCTTCTATATCTATAGAATGATAATTTCCAGATGAGTTTAGGGATCCACACATTTATTGGATTCACAAATGATCTTGGTATACACTGCACTTTAAGAATCAGAAGCCTTCATAACATAGCTTAAGATGCTTAGAGGAGTCAGGCAAAGTGGCTCATACTTATAATCTAAGCTAACTGGGACCTGGAGGTAGGAAGTCATCTAGAACCAGGTTAACAAGACCCTATCTCAAAAACAAATATAAACAGAGCTGGGGGTGTGGCTCAAGTCCAGTAAAGACCTATAGTGAAAGATAAGTATTCAAATGTTTCTTTCCTGGGATTGTTTCTAACATATTTATTTATAAGATTATTTCTTTGTTGATTTGTATGTCCCTCCCCCACGGTATAACCCATGCTTTCACTGTATTTGATGTTGATATAATTTGTGGAGGGGAAGAGAAAAAACAAATTGTTTAAATAGGGATACAGGTGGATCCATTACAACAATGAGATATACAAGTCGTTATGTCGAAAAATGAACTTTACATCTTTGGTGGGGTGGGGGGGAAGGACTGGGTGGGTAGGGGTGGGATGGGAAAAAAAAAAAAGAAATGCACAGAAAAAAAAAAAAAAAAAGACCTGTAGTGGAAAACAAAGCTCTTGAGATTAGAAAATTTTTTAATATCCAATGTAACCTAACCCCATTTTGTTCTAATGCTAGGAAGAAGCCTCAAGACAGAGAGCAGAGATACAGCAGAAGAGAAGGTGACAGTGATAGATAGCTCTATAGTTCACCCTACAAGAAAGTCCAGTTTTCCAATGCTAAGCTTTTTGAAAGACTCCTATCTATTACAGAAACCCTATCTCTTTGAAATGATATCATCTGGTGAATTCCCGTTACCAAAATTTCAATCTATTTGTCCACAGCTCTGGAGACCCTCCAAAAACCTCCTATTACTTGCCCTATTATGTCCATTCTACTTTTTACTACCATGATTAAAAAGTTGCCAGGTACCAGTGGCTCCTAAGTGTAATCCTAGCTACTCAGGAGTCTGAGATCTGAGGATCCTGTGGATCAAAGCCAGCCAGGGCAAGAAAGTCTGTGACATTTTTCTCCAATTAACCACAAAAAATGTGCAAGTGACAGAATATGACACAAGTGGCAGAATGCTAGCCTTGAACAAAAAAGCTAAAGGTTGTGCCAAGGCCCTGAGTTCAAGCCACAATACCGGCACACACACACAAAAAAAATCCCAATGTATTAGCTGCTCACCCAGTCATATTTTGAAGAATTTCACTGTTGATCTGAATCATATTACCTTTTTATGTGCGATGTTCTTGGTACAAACAAAGCCACTGACAACCACAGAATCAAATTTCTTTCCACCTGGGATCTAATGGAGCAATCAAGAAAATAATAAAATTCAGTGATAAAGTCTTAAATCATAGATGGATATTATTATATCTTAACATTTTAAAAGATTAAGGACAAAATGTTCCAGACATAGTTCTTCATTTCAACCCATCATTAATGGCAACCCAGCGTGACTGCCTGTTTTTTTACACCTTTCTCACTGTATGGAGGGCTGGGGAATGTCCAGCTAATGGGGACCTATGAGCCTTTGAAAATATTTGGTCTATCTCTGCCAAGTCCATAGCAGGTAGGACTTACAATTCAGTAAATATAGGAGCTTTTTTCATAGCAACATAAACATCAATGTTAGCAAACATCACACACCTCACCAAAAACAAGCAGTTCTAGCCATCACATTAGGAGTGAGTTAATCAAACACCTGGTCAAATATAGCAAGCTAAATTCTAAGTTAGTAATTTTGTATGGCCCATGAGTGAAGTTTCCAAATGGCCCTTGGCAGAAAAAATAGGCTCCTCACATATTCTCTAATGTGATTTATCATACTCTAAAATACTAACAAAATTGATTCCTACAGCAACTGAATCTGCAATTATTTAAGTTAAATATCTTAGGCAAAAAAAAATGCATGCAGTATTCTACTACTATATAATTAAAGAAATTACCCATCACTTTTCCACAGAATAGTGACAGTGAACTGTAAGAACAGGCTTTCTCATAACAGATGTGTCAAAAAGAGGAAGTAACAAAGGAAGAAACTATATTTATTTGGATTCTCAGTAAACTCTACCCAACTTATGCCTTCAGTCCAACTCTCACTTCCTATGAGTGGCCCCCCACTAATCCCTACATGTACTTTGCTAAGTAGACAGCAAAACCCTCCACTGATCACCTAGCTAAACTCAAGACAAAGACTCAAGATTAATATAAAGGACAAATTACCAATTATCATCAGCTCCTAGCATTAGAAAAATATAACAGAACTTACCTTTTTGATGTGAACAAACTGACGTATATCCATATCATCATCCTGGTGCTTAACATCAGGTCGAACTGTTTGCACAACCTGGCAGACCAGTGACACAATGATGTCCCTCCAAGATGATGACAATGACTCATTATGGAGCAACTGCTGGAGTAGTGCCATCATGTGGTTATGATTGGCTGAACTACAAAAACATTACAAGAAAGTTGCATAGTTAATATAGTAATTCTACAAATGAAACAAGCAATCTGCAAAGAAAACAAGCATTTCAATGGCTATAGATCAATTTTATTCTTTCAATACATTTTTATCTTAGTTTTACACATAAATGAGATCCATGACTATCAGATATTCCCTTTAATTTACGCAAGTGAAATTTTGACATGTAAATTTAAATGGAAACAAGTCGTTTAGGCCCTTTTTATAAGAAATATATCTCCTTAGTAGTTATAGTACTTTTGACTTTATAAAAAGAAAGAATTGTGTATAAGCCTAAAATACTAAAGATATAAAAATTAAAATGAAAAAGTTCATTGCCAGCCAAGCAGCGGTAGCTCACACCTGTAATCTGAGGATCGTGATTCAAATTGGTCGGGGCTAGAAATCCATGAACTCTTCCGGCTTTTTTCTTTTTTGCTTATGTGGTGCTGAGTAATCGAACCCAGGGCCTCAAGCATGCAAGGCAAGCACTCTACCACTGAGCCACCTTCCCAGCCCTTCATGAACTCCTATCTTCAATTAACCACTATAAAGCCAAAAGTAGAGCTGTAGCTCAAGTGGTAGAGTTTTAGCCTTGAGCAAAAAAAAAAAAAAAAAAAAACACCTCAGGGACAATGTCAGGCCCTAAATTCAACCCCCAGTACTAGCACCTAAGTAAATAAATAAACTAAAAGCTCATTATCTTACAGCAATCTCTCCATTGCTTGTTTTTCCCCATTTTCCTCTCTTAGAAGCTCCAGGTTGTTATGATGCCAGCCCAAAGGTGTGAAAGGCAGTTCTTTGGATTTTTCTTCTACTCGACGATTAAATAAGGATTCTAAGTATAGGACAAGAAGTCATTACTTCATTATCATATTCTATGTCATCTACTCATATGCTTAGAATTTAAAAACTTATTATTTATTGCTATAAAATGGCAATAACACATAATACATGAATTATATAAGCTACAAAAAATGTAATACATAAATGCATAAAAATATATAATACACAAATACATATGTACATACATAATCACATTTAAAATACAGCAACTTGAGGTATAGCTCAATGATAGAGCAATTACATAATTATGTACAAAGCTATGGATTTAATACCCAGCACCACACACACACACACAAGAAAAAAAATTACAGAAACAATTGGTAAAAGCTAAAACTTGAGACAAAACTTGAAAAAGTAACTTTCCATAAGTAAATAGGACTTTCATGTCACTAAAACAAACATGGCTTCTAAAAGGAAAAATGAAATTTCTGTACTGCCTGTTCTTTTTGTTTTGGGTTTGTTTTTTTTTTTTTTGAGCACTGGTAGAGTAAGTGGTAATTTTCCCTACAAAAATCACAAACTGGAACTGAATTCAACTAAAATCTGAATACTGGTACAACAATGTATGATAGTGTAGGTACTCAAATTTCATGAAAGAAGCCCCACTCATATATCCCAAACAGTAAGGTAACAATGCAGAAAGTCTACTCAGATGGTCCTCCATGGTACTACTTTTTCAATATTGGTACTGAGGTTTTTTAACCAAATTTTAACAAGACTGACTGAAATTAAGCTATAAAAATATTAAAACATGAAGAAAAGCATGACCTGTGGCTCACATCTATAATCCTAGCTACTCAGGAGGCTGAGATGTGAGGAGTGCAGTTCAAAGCCAGCACCAACAGGAAAATCTGTGACACTTTTATCCAATTAGCCACCAGAGAAGCAGGAAGTTGAGCGTGACTCAAGTAGCAGAGTGCTAGCTTTGAGCACAGAAGCTAAGCGACTATGTCTAGGCCCTGAGTTTAAGCCCCAGTACTAGCACATGCATGCACACACACACACATACACACACAAGCAATTTATATCAAATTTTGTAAAATCTTTACATTTTTCAGATGAGTGAAAATATATCAAGATAAAACAATTAATAAACAAATGCTTTGCAAAAATGATGTTCATTAAACAATTACAATGCTCACTAAACTATTTTTCAGTCACATTATTATTGAACACTATTATTACTGAATAGGAAGATGAAATAACTGAAAAGAGGTGGGAAATGTTTGCAAAATGCTTACCATTATCCTTTTAAAGCAAACCAATCAAGAAACAAAATTTCCACTAATTCAGCAAACAACCATATTAAAAGCAAGTGCCTGAGTATGAAGTTTATGACTAGTACATTCCAATTACATAAACAGCCAGTCTGTAAACTTCCAGTTGAACCAGATATTTGGAAGTAAACTAGAAAGACTGCCAAGTTATGAGATCAGCTGCAATTGGCCTCCCCAGTTTACCGTGCGCTACCTTCTCTCTTTTATCCTTAACCGAAAGCCAAAAAGGACCCTCTTATCCCTTTATTTGAGGACTAAACTGTGGCAGCTGTGTATTAACTAGAATATCTTTACTCCATAATAAGCAAAATACGAAGAGATTTTTAAAAAGCCTATATTCTTCTATACTCCTTTGTCCCAAAGAAGCTGAATAGCAGAGTTATTTCTTTATCCCTCTGCAACTTCTCTTTCTAACTTAACAAATGTAAGTTGCACCCTCAAGTAGCTGAATATCTTCCTGTGAGCTTTTTGACAAACTTGCCAATCCTTGATGATATGTACCTATCAGTCCTTACTATTACAGTCATGGTGTAGAAAGTATAAGCTATTTTATACCATAAAATTCAAATTCTTTTAAAAAACTTTTACAATTACTTTTCAAATCAGAAATATTCTTCTCTCAAACCAAGTCCAAGTTTATATTATCTTTCAACATTATCACAAGTCATTAAACATCTTCAAAATTACTTTCATGTGACATTAAAACAAACATACTTTCAGCCCTTCCTCTGTTGGAATCAATGCATTACGACCTAAGTATACAATCAAGAACAAAAGAAACAACCCCATACATACACAGCCATTCACAAAATTACCTTTGATGAAGGCATCACTTATTGAGAGCTGTTGTCCTCCAGTGTCAGAAATCAAATACTCTGCAAAGCAGGGAGAGAACAGATAGGAGGAAGGAAAAAAAAAAGACATATGACTACAATATGCCAAACTAATTATAGAGAACACACCCACAACCAGCAGTCTATTACTCATACTAAACCTATAACTATGCAGTAAACTGAAGAAACTTCTTCATACTTGTATACATTTCCTGCTAACCTTAATAGACTTGAATAATTTAACAGAATCATTAAATAGTTTGCCTTAATTCAAATGTTAGCTCATCTATAATAGATCATTTTCCCAAATGAGAAGTGTTCAGTTACCAAAGCTGAAAAAGTTTATGAAAACTCAAATTTTTAGTAATGACTAGCCCATTCTACTGTACAACTACACAGTTTAACAAATAATGACTCTGTCTACATACAAAGTAGTTCATAGAGAAGCCACCTTAGAAAACAATGTAAAATGTTTTTAGTTTCACAGAACATAAGTTACAAAACAAATTCATATAAAAGTAACACTAAAAGAAAAAGATCAGGTTTTAAAGTTTTGAATTCTAACCAAATCCTTCCAAAAAGTTTTGGAACAGTTTACTGAATATACTCCTGCTTTCAAAAATTTAAATGATTTTCTTACAAGTGAAACTTCCTCTTTAAACTTTTCTTTTGGTAGATGAGCCAACATAACTTAAATGGGGTCCTGGTTCTTTCTACTATGCAAATAAAACCACAACACTTTTTTATTTTTTTTTTAAAGAAAGTCTCACCAGGTAGTCTAGTTTCCAAGTTTCTTGATCTCCTGTCTTACTCTCTCAACTGATGGGATGACAGGTGACCACAATATAATTTAACTCCTTCAAGATAAACTTTTTTCCAAGTTCATTTATAAACAAATGGACCTTAAAATCCAATGTATTCACTGTAAGCCAATACACGCATCTCTCAAAAGCAGAGGAAATATTTCAAAAGTGCAAGTGCATCATGTCAAAAATACAACATAAACAACCAAGTATGCATATAAGACAGATACTATGCCTTATTTCTCCATTTGCCTCAAAAAAGTATAGTTCAACTAAGTATTATTTTACACAAGCATTACTTCTTCCACCAAAACTTAGATTACAGAATTTGTTTTTCCTTAATACATTAGAAAAAAATTTTCAAACATACACAAGAAAAAAATTTTCAAACATATATTTCTACCTAGATTCAATATATTGTATTGTCTATCTAGATTCAATAACTGTTAAGGATTTTCTACATCTGTTCTCTCTACACTATTTCCTGACTAACTTTAAAACACTTTATCCCTAATACTTCATCATTCAGTTTTAAAAAATAAGGGCATCCTTCTTTACAGCACAATACCATTTACATCCTTAAAAAACTGACATCTTAATATCAAATTAAAATGTATTCAACCATTAAATGTCTTTAATAGCTTTTCTCTTCCATCAAACTTGATGAAGTTCATATATGTCAATTTGGTTGTCTCTCTTTGTTTTCTAATCCACAAGACCTCCTACCTTTTTCCTTTAACGATGATGAATTTTGGAGAACATAGGACAAATGTCCTGGGCCACATACTCTGGACCTAAGCAACTATTTCTTCATTGTATATTTAAACTGCTCTTCTATCCAGTTTTTTTCCTACCTAGAGAAAATTAGATCTACAGGCTTTTCACTTTCTAAGTACTACTTGTCCAACTTTCTACTTGTCCAACTTTCCAACAATGGTTCAGAACCCTGCTTGCAACATATAACAAAATATATTTTAATTGTACAAACCTCCAAGTCCAATAATGAAAAATGAACTAAAGATCACACTTCCCTTAAGAAATTTCTAAAAATAAGAGACTTAGAAATTTTATGAACCATTTATTCGGGAGGTGAAGGATACTGGGGTTTTAACTCAGGGCCTCAGGCTTACTACACAGGTACTCTGCTATTAGTACAGCCACACCTCCAGCCCTTTTGTACTTGTTATTTTTTGATAGAGTTTTGCTTCCTGCCTAGTGTAGACATGAGCTACAATCCTCCTACCTTAAGATTCCTGTAATAACTGGGATAATATGCATGTGCTACCATGCTCACCTTCGGTTATAAGAGATTTTGCAAGTTTTTCTGCATGGGCTGGCCTCCAACTTCTATCCCCCTCATTTCAGCCTCTCAACAAGCCACCAGTATCTGGCTAAGCAGTTTGCTTTTTGGAAAAAACCACAAGCAAAACAAATTTCGTAAATCTAAATTTCCTCAGCCATAAAAAGTATAGGCTCCAGGTGCTGGTGGCTCACGCCTATAATCGTAGCTACTCAGGAGGCTGAGATCTAAGGATCACAGTTCAAATCCAGCCCAGGCAAGAAAGTCTGTGAGACTCTTATCTCCAGTAAACCACCAGAAAATCAGAAGTGGCGCTGTGGCTGAAGTGGTAGAGCACTAGCCTTGTACTGAAGAGCTGAGGGACAGCGCCCAGGCCCAGAGTTCAAGCCCCACAACCAACAAAAAAAAATTTCTTAATAAATTATAAAAAAAAAATAGGTTAAGCCATAAGAAAATATTTATTAAGTATTATCTTTCATTTCAAAAGAAAAGACAGCTATTCCCATTTTTATTTATTTAACAGGAATGAAAACTTTTACTTCCTAGTAGTACATGTTCATCTTCTCTACAATTCAGAGCAAAACATTTTATTATATTTCAACCTTGTAAGAGAAAGAGATAAAGAATAATTTTTAGTACACTAAAGCCTAGTAAGGTCCATGACTCATGCCTATAATCATAGCTACTCAGGAGGCTGAGATCTGAGGATCATGATTTGAAGCCAGCTGGGAAATAAAGTTAGTGAGAATTTTATCTCCAACTAACCACCAAAAAGCTAGAAGTGGATCTGTTTTCAAGTGGTATAGTGCTAGTCTTGAGTGAAAGAAGTTCAGGGACAGCAGCCAGGCCCTGACTTCAAGCCCCAAACTAGCACAAAAAGAAAAAAAAAAATAGTGAGAAAGAATTGTGCCTTAAGGAATCTTTAAAGTCCTCAAATTATAGACTATCAAGGTAGCAGATGACCACAGGTCTACCTTATAATTACCTCCTGTCTAATGCTGGAATTTTCTCTATTATAACTTTTTGTTCTAAATCAAGATTTTCCATTTCAAATACTTGAAATCAAAAGGAACTTTAGAAGACACTAAGTCCACCTAGCCTCTCATCCAATGCAGTATCTGTTCCATAACCCTGACAGGTGTACATCTAGGCATGTGTCAGTGCCTGGACATATCAACGCACAGTGGCATCACAACTCCTAACTACTGGGCCTAACTTTTCCTTTAGCCAGAAACAAAATACAATTTCTTTGGGGGACTCTTTAGATACTTATAGGCAACAAACAGAAAGCCTTCATTTCCCCACTTTCAACATGTAAGCCTTTTAATCATTTTTATAGCAATTTTTTATTGTGATTGATTACATAAATTTCACAATTTTCACAGTATAGTAAGATAGTGATATTTAGTTAAGTCACAAAGCCCTTTAATCTTAATTTAGCAACATTTTCAAGTGTCTCAGGATCCTGGCAGCCTCACCCTCTATTCAGATTAAACTGAAAAAAAAACTTCAAATTGGGCCCTCATTCTAGACATCAGACCATTGCTAAAGAAACATCACTGCACTCAAGCAAGAGGAAGGGAAGTTTTATCAATCAGATGAATAACTCAGAATGGTTTCTCCCAGAATATTAATAGTAAACATTTTTAAAGCCTTGTTCTTAGTCTATTACTTAAGAAAATAAAGTATTTAAATTTTTATTTCTTCAAGCTATTCTTTCTAGATCATAATGACTTAGTAAATTTAATGATTTGTGGATCTGGAAAACACTGAAAGTATAGACCTTTTTTTAAAAAGTGCTGGGGGGAAAAAAATGCTCAGCAATATTGAATACACCCAGACCCCTCCCCACAAAAAAAAAACACTTCTCTATCACATAACTGTTTCCTCCTGATGTTAGACTGGTCCTGATCCTTAGATATATGGCATAAACATTAACATGAGCTACAGGTCCGTGTGTTAAGATTTAGTAATAGAACTGCTGAGCTCTTTCACTCACCAAACACACCATATTCTGTGTGGCTTTTCATTAAAAAAAAAAAAAAAAGTTTGTAGCTTTGTATGATTGCTACAGGCCAGGGAATAAGGAGCAAGTTTCAGTGAGATAGCCAGAAATAAGGTTTTTTTTGTTTTGGGGGGGTTTTTTTTAGTTCTATTATAAATCATGATGACTGCAGTTGATAATAATAGGGTGTTAAATATTCCAGAACTGCTAAGAAATCAGATTTCAAAGGTTACCATAAAGAAATGGTAAATATTTGAGGTAACAGGTATGTTAACTAGCTTAAACATTCCATTGTATATATGTTATAACAACACTTTGTGTCCCATAAAAATAATTTATCAATTTACAATTTTTTGTTTTTATACCAGTACTGGAATCTGAACTCCAGTCCTCTTAACTATCAGTTGGCCTTTTTGCACAGTTGCTGCTCTACTACTTGTGCTGGTTAACTGGAGATAAAAGTCTCACAGATTTGTCTGCTGGAACTGGCTTTGAATAAGAGACTCAGATCCTATCCTCTTCAGTAGCTAGGATTACAAGCATGAGCACTCAGCTGTGAAGTACTTTTAGTTGGGAATTAAAAACAATATCAATTTAAAGTTATGACAATATGGTCTGTTTGAAATTCAAATCTTTATCAGCTCTAGCAAACTGTTCATTTTTTTTTTGGAGATAAATTATTGTATTAAGAATCCTCAGATTCTACAGATTTCAGCCTCCTGACTAGCTAAGATTATAAGTATAAGCCACGGACACCAGGCTCAATTTACAGTTTTTAAAGAGCTCATACTAACTCTAGAACCTGTGCTTTTAAGAAATAATGACAATCTCCTTTATTGTTTTAATATATTTCAAGTACAAAATGGTCACTTCTGTTGACAAAGCTATTGAGAACCATCAAATGCTCATCAACGTAAAGAAAAAACATCATATTTTCCTGCTCCACTAACCTATTATCTTAAGACAGAAATGGTTATTGGAAAATTCTTTTTCAGTCAACCAGGTGCAGTCACCACTAATCCTTTTCTAGACATCACAGTATGCACTGTTCATGAAATGTTCTACAATTTTGTCACCTTCCAATGCCACAAAAAGCTACCTTTTAAAAAAATTTTAACACATACATCACTAAAGTTATCTAAGACGCTCTCAACTTCACACAATTCTTCAAAGATACCAAACCCCAACTCCATGATCACAGACCCAAATTCAATAATCTGGCATATTACTTGCCTAAACCTAGTAATAGACATAATAGACTCACATAACCAGGTATTCTCTATATCTCTTCACACACTTTGATTTACTTCACTTTTCTCTTAGATGTATATTCTTTCCTGATATGTTTCATCTTGACAAAAAAAATCAATTTTCCTAAATAATTTGCCTTAATTTTCCTTTCTATGGATTTGAATCTGTTCTCAGAAATCCTTAGCGTTTTCTCTAACCTTTAATGCAGTCTGGACTTCTGCTATCCTGTCATTTTTCTTACAAGTGCTGGCACCTCTTTCAGACTCATCATCATCTTTAGGTGTCTGCTCCCAACTTTTGCAATCTTTTTAAAGGTTTAAAGTCAGAGAGGTTTTAGAAAAACAGGTTTTTCAATTTCTACTACATATGCTTCACCTCTCATTTTCTCTAGAGATGTAATTTGTTCTTTTTTTTTTTAATTTCAGATTTCATTTGTTTTGGTGCTTACTTTCATTGCCTAGAGGAAAGGAGAGGGATATATGAGTGTACTCAATTTGTTCTTCCCTATAATAATGTCATTACTGAAGCCTGCTGTTTCATTCCTCTATCAGTACCTTAAAGCAAGCTTCCTAAAATAAATATGGGACCTATATTCAACAGTCTATCCTTTGCCATTATGAATTCTGACATCACTTATTCAAGATTTTCAAAACTTAATCTTAACTTTTCTAAAAGGTGAAAATCATTAGCAAGTCACAAGTGTATTTTTCACTCTGCCTTCAGCAAAATGAAACTATCAAAGGAATGTCCAAAGAACAGATTGTTTTCTGCCATGATATACAATACCTCACTATCTGTACATTCATATTAAAAGACATTAGACATTATAACATCCTCCTTGTAATCAGATAACAGTCAACTGTCAACAAGTGTCAGATGTACTTCCTTGTCCTGCATACTCACCCAAATGTTCTCCATCATTTTTCAATTTCTGTTTTTAGGATTCCTACAAAGATGTGTGCCTGATATGTATCTTACTTATGGCTTACTGAAAATCAGATCTCTTCCTAGATTCTAAGTTTCTTACTTTTAAGTAAGATACACCTTTGTATTATAATTCTTTTTTTGTATTGTAATTCTTAACATGTCTTTTACCATATTTTGCTGAAAACTTACACTGATATGAAAAAATTGCTGAGAAAATGTAAATAGGTTTCAAATTATTTTAATGTAGAGTTTTTAATTCAAAATCTTTTTTTTTAACAAAAAATAGTAGCAAAGAATCAGAAAGGCATTTCAGATCTAAATGAAGAGACAATTCAACTTAGAGGGTTAAATATTTAATACTCAAACTCCAGAGAAATCATGACCTCAAGATCTTTATAATATTCTTTCAGTTATTATGACAAAATGAACTTCCATTATTATTTATCTATGTACTCATGTTTTATTTACCTTCACCTAACATCATATTTGGACTATAATTTAAATTGGCTCCTAATTGCATGTAGCAATCATCCATTTTTTAAAAAGGTCTTTTATTTTTTTACTAATATGTTAGGTGTTAGAAATGGTTACCTTGTTTTACATTTTACACTAAGTGATTTTAAATGTACCATTATTATCTATGAGTCAGTGGAGTAACATGTAAGATCTCTAAGAATAATTCATTTTTTATTAATTACAGAATCGTTTTTAAATATACACAAATAGGTTTTTTAAATTGTTGTGGGAAGACACTCTGAAATGTGGGAATAAGTTTCCCCCAATCTAAGCTCAAGCATCTGAACAAGCTTAGAGAAATACTGTTACTGCAAAATAGCACAGGCAAATAGGCTTAAAAATGTTAAATGGAGAAAGAGAAAAGAATAGAGCAGAACATCCATGTTACGAATGCAAAGAAATGCCACCTTGGAAGTTGCACATTATGGGAAGAGCAGTCAAATGTAGTTCACTGTAAAGACTACAAGCTTTAAACTGGGTCTGGTGGTACTGAGGGAGGAAAAGAAATACAACCGACAACAAAAAAAAAGGTGTGGGGGAGGAAGTGCTGGGAAAATGAGAAAGGGTAGAATAAAACCCAGTCCAAATCCCCTTGGCTATATGGGACAGAGGAAGCCAGCAGGACAGGCTGCCACAGATCCTATGGCCCAGCTCTCCAGCCTGTTTGGATTCCAAATGGTGACTACCTCCTACCTTTTTGGTCAGCAGGGTGAGGGGGCACATGTGGGTACTTGGAGGGCTTCTTGATATGGAAGTTCACGTTGTCCAGCTCCACGTTCAGGCTGATAGAAGCGGCTGAGTCACTGTCCACTGTGGACTGGAAACTGCTGACTGAGGTGCGCTTGCTAGGACTGGCAGAATCTTTTAATGTTGGGAAGGGGAAAGAAATATAGGGAGAGGAGGGGAGTAAAAATGGGTTTCATCAGGGTATTGGAGGAAAGGAGAAAAATGGATTTTTAATATACAAGCCCAATGTGCAATACCAAAATGGATACAGTATTTTCATGTATCTCTGTATAGACTTAATGAAATTGAGCAAATTAAATATAAAAATCAAAATTTTAATGAAGAAATGTATTGGAGGTTCTGCAGAGAGAAAGTCTGGTATCATAGTAAAGAGGTGAGAAAGTTGTCTGCTGCGATATGATTAGCTCAGAGTTATTTTTAAGCTGCTGCAAACTACAGACTATGGTAAAATCTGGAAACATCAGGCACCTACCAAGTTGGTTTCTTTAGAAAATACTGTATCTAAGACAAGGATTGTTATCAAGATCGTTTACATTTAGTGAAAGCCATAAATCACAAAATGTAATTCCACTAAACAAGACATTATTTTATCATACAAACACAGTAATGATCCACAGTAATGGTCCACAAAACTACAATGTTAAAAAAAAAAAAGTCAAACTCACTAGCCAAATTATCATCACCTTCTTCAGCTATCTGTTCTGTGTCGCTGTCATCAAATTTTATGTCTTTAAACCAGGATGGCTCAGAATGTCCTTCCACAGAGTTCACTGAGTCACTGTCTGGAGAAGGCGTCTCAGAAAATTCTGTACTCTGAAAGGATCACAGCAGCATCAAGCAATTGACCTTCAATGTTGAAGGTGTCACATTACAAATAAAGTGTAAGGCAACATTTCTACAAATCTAACAACGGAATATATTTATATTTTAAAATAATAGTAATTTGTGAGAGGAGATAGGAGGTCCTCAGTTTAAGGCCAACCCAAGGAAAAACTGAGCAAGACCCTTTTCTCAACAAATAAGCTAGGTGAGGTAGTATATGCCTCTAATTCCAGGTAAAAGGAAGACTGGAGGTAGGAGAATGGTGGTGCAATCAGCCCTTGGTAAAACAACAAAGACTTCTCTCAAAAATTGTTGTCTAAAGCCAGCCAGGCACTGGTAGTTTTAGTTTGTAATCCTAGCTACGTAGGAGGCTATTATCTAAGGACTGTTGTTCAAAGTCAATGGGACAGAAAAGTCCCCAATTAACCACCAAAAACTAGAAATGGAGCTGTGGCTCGAGGGGTAGAATATCAGTTTTGAGTGAAAAAGCCAAGTGAGAGTATAGGTCTTATGTTCTAGTACACACACACACACACACACACACACACACACACACACACACACACACACACACACACACACACACACACACACACACACACACACACACACACACCTCTATAGCAAAAAGGCTGAGAATATGGTAAAAAATAGCAGAGTGTACACACACACACACACACACACACACACACACACACACACACACACACCTCTATAGCAAAAAAGGCTGAGAATATGGTAAAAAATAGCAGAGTGTAAACACAGGCCTTAAATTCAAACCTCAGTAATGCCAAAAATTAACAAAAACTAATCTATACAACAGCATTATACTGATAATTCTAAAAAATATTTTTTTCTTTAATGAGAAGAATTAAGTAGCACATTATAAATAAAATATTTCTTTGGTATACATTTTTCACAGATTAATCTTTTAATACTGAAGGAAGATAGTAAAGAGTTTATTTTAACCCTCTCCCAATTCTAAAATTTATCCAGAAATATACAGATTTTTTTTTTTATTACACCAAACTGTTCTTCCTGAGTTTCCAATTCTAGTTCACAAAACTATACACAAGCACACAAACACACACACACACACACACACACACATATACATGCATACACACACATGCACGCATGCACGCACACACGCACGCAGTATTTTTTATACACACTCAAGAGTAAAAGAGCATATCATTTTTCAAGTTCTACATTTAAGTAATTTCCATTTCCCTAAAATTAAAGGTTAATCATTATTTTACCATTGACAGTCAAAATCTATTCCCATAGTTAACATTAAATTTTCAATCACCTTATCATGCATAATTTCATTTTCTTAGCTCTAAAAATACTTGATATAGCTGAAAATTATGACAATTAAATGGCAAATAACTGTAATACCACAAAAAACATTATCAAATAAAGCATTTAATCCTAATCAGAGGATTTCATTACTAAATACATTTAAAAAGAAAAAGACAATTGGGCACTGATGGCTCACATCTGTAATCCTAGCTACTCAGGAGGCTGAGATCTAAGGATTGAGGTGTGAAGCCAGCCCAGACAGAACTCCAATTAACCAAACATGTGGCTTAAGTGGTATAGTCAACTGTGGGAAATAGGAGAGATGGGGGAGAAAGGGAAAAAGGGCAAAGAAAGGAGTGGTGGAAGGTAGGAGGTAACCTCAGAACTGGGTTGGGAATGTAGATAAAGCTTGGTAACAGAACAGTTGCTTAGCATGTGCAGGGCGCTTGGCTTGATCCAAAGCATTGCAAAAGAAAAAAAAAGTTTTATCTTCTAACAACAGGAAAAAGCATTCTAGAAAAAAGTATCTTTGGATAACTCAACTACTTTTTATTCTTACTGATGAAGAAGTTCAAACAAGTTTGTTACATTAGGAATAAACACTGATAATTACCTGCAGAGGCCTGTACAATGCATACTCATCCCTAAAAAGCTGGTCATGATGACTAACACAATCCAACCAACGACCATCAACCATTGCTTGTCCAATTGCTATAGCTTGTGCCCTGAATAAAACAAATGAAATGTTTTAAAAATCAATCCGAATAGTTTTATAAATATACAATAAGACACTATCTAATTTCTTTTCAGTTCTAACCATTGGAATTTCAAATGATCCTTGGGTAGGTAAGAAACAAAACAAGAGAAATGTGAAGCAAATTGAAAAACTCTTCAAGGTACCATAGTAAAAGGAAACCCTATTGGCAATTTTAATCCCAACATGCATTCATTGAGTACACAATACCCCTTTCCTAAGCAGAGGTACAAAATGTTGAAATTAGCATGGCTCCTACACTCAAAGAGCTTACAGTCTTAATGAGAAGACAATGCTAAATGTTATAAATATGTATATACAGTAAATATAAATATATGAACAAAGTAAGACATTCAACATATGTTACAATTTAGAGCACTTAACCATTTCATGCCCACAGCTTATTCACAGTACCAAGTATTTCCCTAAACATGAAACTAAGTTGTTCAGGTCTCAAAGTGACTGAATAATTTCACTAAAGGTTCAAAGCTAAAAGAAGATATAGTCAAAATTGGTAAAGCTTAAAAGTTTTTTTGTCTGGTTTTATTTTTTTCTTTAGCTATTGTTATTTCCCAAGAGAAGTCATTCATCTACAAGTAGAGAAAATAGAGGATATGTTGACTTAAAAAGGAAGCAAACCCTGTTGCTACTCCTTTTTTGTTACAAATTATTTGTGAGACTATCAGGGCTTCAAGCATGCCTTATCACCAATTCTCAACATAGTCGGTAATGTCTAGATTAGAGAACAGAAGCAGGCATCTTCTATCTACATTCTATCTGGCTTTACTACTGGGTTCTGTGTACTTCTTTGAATATGGTAAATTGTGACCCCAATTTGGCTTCTTGAAACTATTCTCTTAACAATTAAAACCAAGTATAAGGCAATTAATTAGTTAGTTCCCCAAATCATCAAACACATAAAACTCTGACTCACAAAGATATATTACCCTTACGTTTTCAAACATTTATGTTCATTACAAATAAATTACGAAATAATTTCAAGACCTCTTTCTTGAGATCACAATACCTTGTGGCTATGTGTCCATTTCGGATTAGCCAGTTGACTAACTCCTTTCCTACTATGCAGTTAGGATGTGTACGCAGCCAGTAGCGGTGATCCTGAAACTCCATTCCACTACTGTGATGACAGATTTTTTTCCACAGATCCTTTAACTGAACACTGTCCTGTAATCACATTACGAGCAAATAGTTACCCCTCAGAAAGATGTTATACACATCTCCAGATTCTTTTTTGTGATTCTGAGATGCATAAAAGGAATTTGAAAAGCATTTCTTTATGATTGAATACAAAGGACATATACACAGAATAGCTTGAACTCAATTTATGTAATTCCAAGCACCATTTTCTTCTATGGAAAACCAATTACCACTAGTACTTTCTTTTCCAGTCAATGACACATATTATCAGTCTCTAAGTTAAATGCAAAACTGTCTAGTTCGGAGATGTAGGAGGCCACTGTCAATCTTACTAATCTAAGATAAACACTGCTAGGAACCTTCACTTCACTCTATTCTTATCTACACCCAACTATACCCAATATGTCCATTTAAAAAATAAAATAAAAACCTCCCATGAATTATTTTCATTTCAAAAAAAAACTTCAGTGTTCTTAGGCAACTACAGGCTCAAATCAAAACTTGTAAGGAAAGACTTAATTCTTTGCCTTCTACTAGGTAGTCTCAAAAACTTTCCATTCTCATTGCCAATAGACTTAACTCTTCCAACTAATAAAATCTATGTCACTCCATGAAAAATGCTATGTATGCTTGAAATGCCATGTATCTTTTCTTACACTTAAAAAAAGATTCACTTTTCTGTTCCATCCCTTGTTCCATTCCTGTCTCCCTCAGTATTAATGATTAATTAATGATTAATCTGTATGGCATATAGTTATTTTATTTGACACTCATTTCTGCTGTTATTACTTCTTCTACAATTAAGGACCTTCTCAATGACCTGGTTTAAGTCTTTGAATTATAAGTGTGAAATCAGAAGCAATGTTTTCCAATTCTGTGAATCACTCTTAGGATAGGACACACTAATTTACACAAATAACACTGAAGAACTTTTAACTGATTTTCTCACATAAACAAGGAACTAAATGTCTGAGTGTTCCATGTGTGTAAGAAATGTATTTCAAAGCTTAAACAAGCTGAGACCCAACTAAAAGTTAAGCTCTCTTATTGTACAAACAGCTAATGAGCTTGCCAAATGAAAGCATAAAGAAAATATTAATGCAATGAGTGCGAATAGAACACTTGATCAACTTCTCGTACTCCTAGTTAAAAATAAGCTACTTATTTCTGTTTCCTTCCTTTCTTTTTCTCTCTTCTCCCCTTTTTCTCTCCCCTTCTTCTTCCCACTTCTCTTCTTCTCTTCTCACTTCTCCCATTCCCCTCCTCCTTTCCCTTTCTTTTCCCTTCTCCCTTCCTCTTTCCCTAGATTCCTCCCCCTCTTCTCTTCCTTCCAGTCTTACAATGTAGCCCAAAGATAATCTTAAAATTGCAGTCTCCTGCCTTACTTAAAAGTGCTGAGATTATATGCATGTGCCTTCATGCCCAACTATTTCATTTATGTTTCCTTAACAAAGAGAGAGAGAAAGAGACAGACAGACAGGGAATGGGGAAGGGAAGGGAAGAAAAGGGAAGGGAAGAGAAGGGAAGGAAGAGTCAAAGGGAGGGAAAAAAGAAAGGAGAGAAACCAATGAAGTAGTAACTTTATTTTCAAAATTAATATAGGTCATAAATACTAAATTGGTACCAGAAGAATTTTTCGTTCATCCTCTGTGGTCTCTGTCCGAAGATATGTTCGGTTAGCCTGGGGACTAACAGATGTCTCATATGAGGGTACCATAGGAGAACCAGATCGATCCAGTGACAGGTTAGTAATGCTGGCTGATCTGGAAATAAAAACAAAAAGTAAAAATCACAGTTATAAATTCTTTACTAGTAAATAGTTACAGTAGAAATTCGTATTTAAGTAAATACTCCTTGCCAATGTTACAATAGTTATCTGTATTACTGTTTTGGAAAACAAGGAAGAAGACAGCTAGATCTCTCTGCACTACATTTGCAACTTCTAGTGAGTCTATATTTGTAAACAAGTTTTTTAAAAAGTTGCTACAGAAAGATTACAAGAAAACAACCATATAATTCATATACTGGTAATATTTCAAAAGAAATAGATATAAACTCTTGGTACAAATATTGGATTTTTTTTAAATTGACAAAGCTAAAAGGCTAGAGGAGTGGCTCAAGTGATAGAATGCCAACCAAGAAAACAAGTCAAAGGCCTTGAGTTAAAGCCCTGGTAGAAGAAAAGAGGAGAAGGATTGGGAGAAGGAGAGGGAAAAAGAGGGGAAGGGAGGGGAGGGGAGGGGAGGGGAGGGGAGGGGAGGGGAGGGGAAGTGACGGGAGGGGAGGGGAGGGGAGGGGAGGGGAGGGGAGAGGAGGAGAGGGGAGGAGAGGAGAGGAGAGGAGAATGACAAAAAAATACAAACTACAACTTACAGGCCAATTGCAGCCAATTTCCTGTTTATGTACAGTCTAAGAACTAAGAATCATTTCTATAGATAACTATCTTGCAATCAATTTAATAATGGACAACACTAATTTGTTGGGGAGGGGGGGAGGGGGTGCTCTCCTTTAGCTCTTTTCATTCAAAGATTGTGCTACCTGAGCCACAGCTCCACTCCTGGCTTTTTGCTGGTTAATTAGAGGTAAGAGTTACAGACTTTTCTGCCCAGGCTGGCTTCAAATTCTGATAGCCTCCTGTGTAGCCAGGATTACAGGCATGAGCCACCGGTGCCCAGCCTGAGAACACTAATTCTGAACTCCAACTAAATAAAGCCCAAGAATTCATTTTTTCCCATTAGTAGATATATTTAAAATACTGTCCTCAAATATTATATTTTGGCCTAATTAGTAAAATTAAAATAATGGAAATTAGTTTCCTCTCATGTACTTAAATGTCTTCAATTTTGCCTTAGCAAATTTACTGGACAAATGATTTAAACATACTACCAACAGCATCAAGTAAGCTTCTACTTTGGAAAAAAATTAACTAGAAAATGAGTTAACTACCTAAAAATAAAAAGATAACTTGCCAAACACCTATATGTACTTATTCTAGCTACTCAAGGGCAGAGATTAGAAGGATCTTGATTTCAGGCTAGCCTGAGAAAAAAGTTAGTGAGATCACCATCTCAACAGGAAAGGGATGTGGTTTGTATTCATCTATCACTCTAACTGCTTTGGAAGCATAAATCAAATGATCCTGTTCCAGGCTGGTCCAGGTAAGAAAAAAGAAAAAAAAAAACTGATACTCTATCTCAAAAAGTAACCAGAGCAAAAAGGGCTGGAGACATGGACTCCAAGTGGTAGAGAACTGCCTACTAACACAAGGTCCTGAGTTCAAACCCTAGAAAAAGAAGGAGGGAGGGAGGGAGGGAGCGAGGGAGGGAGGGAGCGAGGGAGGGAAGGAAGGAAGTCAGACAAGCAGACAGGCAATCTTAATTTCTTTGTAAGTAATTAAAAGCAGCAGCATCTATGTCCTGGTATCACTTAATACATTCATTGGGTTATTAGATACCACATAACACATTCATCAGGGTAAAAGAAATAAATTCCCTCATTTAAGCCTTATAGAATTCTATGAAGAAATAATTACCAGCTCTATTTTATAAAAAAATCAAGAATCAGAGAATAATTACTCAGATATTAATTTGTGTAGAGTATCTCAGTTTATAAAATATAAGGACTACAACTCAAAATTGTCTGGATTAAAAAAAATCCTCTCTCAAACCTGGCGCCAGTGGCTCACTCCTCTATCCCAGCTATTCAAGAGGCTGAAATTTGAGGATAAAGGCTCAAAGCCAGCCCGGGCAGAAAAGTCTGTGAGACTTTTAGCTCCAATAAACTACTCAGAAAAAAGTGGCACTGCTGTTCAAATGGTAGAGCCCTAGCCTTGAGCACAAAGAGGTTCAAGAACAGCACCGAGGCCCTGAGTTCAAGCCCCAGGACCACCCACCCCCACAAAAAAAATTTCTCTAGTATTTGTAAAAATATTTTAAAGTAAGAAATAATTCAAAATTTAGCACATTAATTATTAGCAGTTAATGGGAGACCACTGATATCAAGGCAATTTTTTAAAGCAATCAGCTATGTTTTAGCATTTATTCCTTTAGTCAAAGACTACTATGTTTTATTCAATTAATTTAAATCTCTTTTCCGATGGCTGCACTAATTCATGCATTCTACTTATCTAACAATCATCCCTACAAATATTCTAGCATAGTGGCAATAAAAACAAAGTCATTAATTTTGCTGTCAAAGCACTAATAAATATGTTGTGGCAAGGATGATAATTAAAATTATGTTTAAAGTAGCACTCATCAAGCAAATTATATCTGTCTCAAAACTTACATCCATCTTAGCATTAATTTGAAACACCTGGAGATACATTATAAATTGGAGACAATTCTACAATTGTGCACATGCCAACAGGAACGCCATCATTGGTCTTAGATTTCAAAAATCTTTAACTCCACTTCCCCTTGCTGTACTTTTCCTCCTTCCTTTGGTACCAAAAACCCCATCTCCAATTATTCTACAACACACTGAAATTGTCTATTATTGTGATCAACGTTACTGTATTATTGTAGTACTGAGGTTTGAATTCAGGGCCTTATGCTAGATAGGCAAGCAAGCAACTACAACTTGAGTCACAACTTCAGCACTCCATGCTTTAGAATGCTTTTCAGGTCATATCTTATGTTTTTACTTTATCCAAACTCAGACAAAAATCCTCCTAACTAAGCCTCACATATAGCTGGGATTATAGCTACATACCTCCATGCCCAACTTGTTTGTTAAGACTGTCTCCTTGTTGGCCCAGGCTGATCTCACACTGTAATCCTCCAAGTCTCTACTCCCAAGTAGCTGAGTTTACAGCAGTGAGTCACTGTGCCCAGCTACCAATATTATTTTAAATCCAATACTTAGTTTTTCCTCATCTTATTTAAAACATGAGCAGTATACCTCCTCTCTCCTTTAAACCCTTCTTTACTTCACTGCTAATAAAAATCCTCTTCCTAGTTTTCCTCTCATCTCACTGGCCTCTACATTTCAGTCCTCTTCTGATTCTTCTTCACTTCCCAAACTCAATCTCAATCCTACTTACTCTTATCACTCACTGTTTTGATGATGTCCATGCAGATTCATTACCGCAATTAAATGCCATTCACATGATGACAACATCGAAGTTTGTATCTTAAGCCTGCACTTTTCCTCTAAATTCTTGACATCTAATACATGTCTAATACATGTCAACATGTCAATAAAGCCAATTCCATTCTTTCAACTGCTCAGGCTCGAAACTGAGTCACTTTTGATGTCTCTATTGTATAACTGATTATCTGTACAAAATCTATCTAGAGTCTGACCATTTTTCATTTGATCTCCTCCACTACCACCATTTCTCCTATTCTAATCTAAATCAGTTTTCTTGCCTGGATTTACTATGCTACTCACAGAGCATCCAAAATGTGCCTTTTAAAACAGTTCAGGTTGGATGCTGCCGGCTCATGTTATAGCTACTGGGAAAGAAGAAATAAGGAGTATCAGCTCAGGTAAAAAGTTCTAGAGATCCTATCTCAATCAATAGCTAGATGTGATGGTGCTACAGCATCATAGCTACATCATACCTATCATCATAGCTACAGCAGGAAAGATAAAAACAGAATGATCACAGTACAGGACCACGTAAACAAAAAGTGAGAAGTCTCTCTCAAAAATAACCAGAGTAAGACTGGAAGTGTGTGGGGGTCAACTGGTAGGACATCAGAATGCCTCACATTGACAGCAAGTTTAGTAAAGTCTTGTGAAATTAAGTCTACTTTGCCCACATGATCCAGCTTTCTGCTCCTTGGTATTTGCCCAAACACAGAAACCTATACACAGATGTTAACAACAGTTGTATAATTGCTGAAACTTAGAAGCAACCAAGATGCCCTTCAACAGATGAATAAACCATGTTGCATCTAAAAAATGGAATACTATTCAGAATAGCACTTAAAAGTAAGTTACCAAGGCATTCAAGAAACAAATGCGTATCATTGAGAAAAGCCAAAGTGAACCTAAAACTGCAAACTATTAACTAAAAACACAAACAAAATAATGATATCCACTACTGATTTTCAAATGGTTGACAAAAATTGTATATTATATAAAAAGTAATAAAACAGGCAAAATGTAAATCAGTAAAATCTCAATGAAGAATACATTAACATTTATTTTCATATTATTATAACTATTTTGCAAGTTGGACATTTTTCAATACAAAAATTACAAGATACAAAACTTTTTAAATGAGAGAATAAAAATGAAAAGAGCTCAGTAAAAAGGAAATGATGGCTTACTCTAGTTTCTACCTAAGAAATTGTATGACAAGCAATCTCATATTTATTATGTTTGTTCTCACTATTAAGAAAACAAACAAAATCAGACACAAGATGCATGATTTTTATTTGACAATTTACCTGTTTCGAGCAGGAGATTTTCCCGCATCCTCTTGAACAGAAACAAGTCTTGTGGAGAGAGCAGTATTTGAGGTGTCTGGATGAATCAAACTAAAAAGAAAATAATACTGAGATAATTTGGGACAACAGAGGGCAAATCTAATTTCAGTGACGTTCTTTAGCATTATTTTTTTCTGTGGCAGTAAAACTTAAAACTTTGGGTCTCACACGCTTAGTAGGCTCTCTCAATCACATCTGGCATTCCACCAGGCTTTGCCTCCAGTCAAACTTTTTTTGCTAGCTAACTGGAGACTTGCTTTGACCCCTGACCTTCAAATCTTCAGATTTCAGCCTCTTAAACAAGTAGACTTACAGGCTTTATAAGAGTGAACTACCAGCACCCAGCTGTTTAACATTTAAAAGCCATAAATGATTTCTCTGTCATAGTGAGAATCTGGGCATTTTTTTTCTTCCTTTAATTAAGGTAGAAACTGGGCATGGTTTTTCTCTAAGTATAGCATATGCCAAAAAAAATAGTAAAGGATTAAAGTGTATTAAATGTGGATTAAGTAAAAAAATTAGTCTAATAGGTAATTTATAAAAATCCTTCCAATATCACACATACAAAATAGAATTGATTCAAGGGAGACCTATGAGTTTCAAAATATTAATATCAGTTACCACAACACATTTGAACACCAGCACCACAACACTAGGTCCAAGTGTAGGCTGCCCTTCTATGTGATCTGGGGTTCATTAGTTATCTTTCTGAGCCCAAGCACTCCAATAAAAAAATAAAAGTGCCTACTAGAGATATGGTAACTAACAAAAGAAGACTAAAAAAGAATACTAAACAATTAGTGCAGAGCCTTGAACTATTATTCTACTTCTGACCTCTCTCTTAGATCTCTCAGGTATCTTACATCTCTCAAGTTCTCATACTTGATTTATTTTATTAAATCACACTTGCCAATGCTGGGTTCGCAAATGGACCATTTGCAACTATGAACGGCTTAACTAAAACAAGCAAAATCTGAAGAATTCGTATTTTGTATTGTTTAATAAAACACAGAACCAGTTCTTTAAGTTAAGTATCTATCTATCTATCTAGTACAAGAATCATAATAAGCCTAAACCAGGGGCTCACATCTGTAACCCTAGCTACTCAGGAGGCAGAGATCTGAGTACAACAGTTCAAAGCCAGCCCAGGCAAGAAAGTCTGTGAGAGTCTTTCCTCCAATTAATTACCACAAGTCCAGAAGTAGAGCTGTGGCTAAAGCAGGAAAATATTAGCCTTAAGCAAAAAAGCTCAGGAAGCCAGGCACTGGTGGCTCACACCTATAATCCTCGCTACTCAGGAGGCTGAGATCTGAGTATAACAGTTCAAAGCTAGCCCAGGCAGGAAACTCCAGGAGACTCTTATCTACAATAAACCAATCAGAGTAAGTCAGAAAACTTTAAAAAGTACCTGACCAGGACTGGGGAGGTGGCTCAGCGTAGAGCGTAGAGCGCTTGCTTTGCATGCCTGAGGCCCTGGGTTTGATTCCTCAGCACCACATAAGCAAAAAAAAAAAGTACCTGACCAATGAATTTCTTTTTCTTTTTGTCACTGGTGGCCTGGGCATAGTCCTTAAGCAATTTTGCTTAAGACTAGGGCTCTACTACATTTAGCCCCAACTCCACTTCCAGTTTTTGAGTGGCTAGTTGGAGATAAGAGTCTCAAGGACTTTCCTGCCCAGCTGGCTTTGAACTGCGATCCTCAGATCTCAGCCTCCAGAGTAATCAGGATTTCATGCATGAGCCACTGGCTCCTGGCTTGATCAGTGATTTTTTTTTGTAGTAATTGTGTTCTGTCTAGTCCTACTTCTCTCTCTATTCTCAATAAAACCACTATTGCAAATTTTATGTTCATCATTATCTTTCTCTGAAAAAGAAGATATTCATTTTATATATTTCTGAACTTTATGTAAAAGGATTAGTAACTGACATTTGACTAGGTGACTTTCTTTTCTATTCTATGGTATGTTGAGATTTATACTTGTTGAATATAGTTGTAATTATTTTTTATTTGTTTGGTTATATAATATACTAATTCCTCACTTCTTGAAGAGATAGCTGAGAAAAGTCTAAGCTCTTTGACATGGTCAGATTTGGTATTATGCTTAAGAAAATTACTTAGCTAAATTAAGTAAAACAACCAGAAACTGATGAACCAAGGATTCTAATTAAACAATTTTAAGTAACTTCCATGAGAAAGTTAGCAGCATCTTCCATTACCATCCACTACAGAAAAGTATTTACATATATAGAAAGACATAAAATATCCCTTTGGAAGGAAAATAATGCAATTTGATTTGGAAATATGAATACACATATTACAAGCACTAGCCTTTTCAAAGAAGACTACTTTAGGAATTACTAATCTCAATGACTTCCATTATCTAATCAAGTTTTTTTTGTTGTTGTTGTTTGTTTTGGCCAGTCGTAGGGCCTGAACTCTGGGCCTGGGCACTGTCCCTCAGCTCTTCAGCTCAAGGCTAGTGCTCTACCACTCGAGTCATAGCACCATTTCTGGCTTTTTCTGCTTATGTGGTGCTGAGGAATCGAACCCAAGGCCTCATGCATGCAAGCCAAGCGCTCTACCACGAGCCACCTTCCCAGCCCCTAAACAAGTTTTATCAATACCAGACACTCCCAAAAGCACTTGTTTTGATGTCAACAACAGAACAATGATAAGAAAGCTAAAGTTTCCTCTCAAGAATGTAACATTCTAATTAATTAGTATCATTACTATCCATAAATATTTGTAAAGAAAAGGAGTAAATGTGAATTTTCAGGAACCAATCCAAAAAAAATGTTAGCCCCAAACACTCAAAAGTCACTATTAGTTCTTTTCCAATTTAAGTAAAATTATATCCAAGCGAGAGTACCTTTGCCAGGCTAAATCATCCTCTAAGAATATGTTCCGGCTGGCTTTTCTACTGCCAACAGGTGTTCGGGGCTCATTTGGATCAAGTACAGAGACAGAACAAGCAGAATCAGAAAGAGCATTCAGGTCTTCTCCAATGGAGTTACTATCTGTAGAATGTGCATAACTTAAAGCTATTTTTCTACAATATGTACAAGCTCGAAGGTCCCCTAGGAAAAAAAAGAAAAAAAATTAATTAAAAGGTAGTAGTAATATATTACTTAACTAAATATTTAATAAGAAACTAATAACAGGGAAATATTTTCAAACAAAAACTAACAAACAAGGCATTTTAAGGAAGTGAATTTGTAATAGTTTGACTACTATAGTTTTACTATGGCAAATTCATCAAAGTATCAAATTACCTGAGAATTTCAGACTTGCCAGCCAGATCCTTAAAATACAGGTGAACAGACAGGCAGTGGCTCACACATGTAATCCTAGCTACTCAAAAGGCTATTTGAGGATCACAGTTCAATGGCAGCCTTAGCAGAAAAGTCTCTATTGGACTCTTATCTCCAATTAACCACTCAAAAACTGGAAGTGGTAGAGCACTAGCCCTGAGTGAAAGGGCTCAAGGCCAGTGCCAAGGCCCTGAGTTCAAGCTTCACGACTAACAAAAAGAAAAAAAAATACCGGTGAAATCTCCTCTCAATCTCTCTCTCCATACACACTTACATATACACTCACACACTGTGGACCCTATTAGTTGTTTCTTTGAAGAATCCTGACTAGTAGAGATCTTGGTACTAAGAAAAGTTTTAAAGTAATATAACCTTAAGGTTTCTGCATTGGCTCACAGGTTTCTGGAATTGGTTTTCTCATTTGATTAGATGTAAAAGCACTAATAGTGAATTCCAGTAATGGGGACAATATTACTAAGCTATGGTGCTGTGAAGTAATAAACCCTATGTACTCCAAATCAAATACTTAGAAGAAATGAGGTTCAGGGCAAACATATACTTAATATCTTACAATCTTTTTGTTTATCAATTATATAATTAGCTTGCTGCTCCTAACTGCAGTACACAAAGGAAAGAAAATGACAATCTCAGAGACTCAAATTCCAAGGTCAACAACTGTAAAACTTAGCTGGAGATGTGGCACAGTTGCTAAAATATTTGTACCAAGCAAAAGGCCCAGCATCTCAAGAAAACAAATAAATTATACAAAACCCTAACACCATACAGTCTCAGTGAAATGTTGAAAAGCAAACCAATAATTTCAAACTGAAACACAAACACAAAGAGAGGAAAATGCGAAATAGAAACATAAGAGTTATAGTAGTGGATCTGTCTACAAGCCATAGAACAATGAGCCTTGCCAACAACCACCAAAAGCCAGGACAGAAGTGTGGGATGAATTTTCCAGCACAGTCTTCATAAGGAATCAACTCTGCCAACTCCTTTCAGATATTTGGCCTCCAGAAATATGACACAACAAACTGCTGTTGTTTTAAGCCAAATGACTTTCCCTTCCCTGCCTTTATTATTAAGTTCTAGCAGATCCTTTAAAAAAAAAAAAGTACAAAGTAAGACCAAGAGGATATGGGTTGTACTCCAAGAGGATAAAATTAGATCAAGCCAAATTTACTCATATGGGCCCTATAAGCAAATTCTAGATTAAATATTGTAGCTCAAGCAGTAAAACAGAACTGTTAAGATATTAGTAGCTTTTTTTCTACTTTTTTCCACAATAAATCATACTTGGAGCCAGGCTCATGCCTAAAATCCTAGCAACTCAGGAGGCTGAGATCTGAAGACTGTAAAGAGATCTGAAGCCAGTGGCAGAAAACTCTATGAAACTCTTATCTCTGATTAATTACCAAAAAGCCAGAAGTAGAGCTTTGGCTCAAGTAGTAAAACACTATCCTTGAGCATGAAAGTTCAGGGACAGTGCCCAGGCCCTGAGTTCAAGCCTCAGGATCAGCACCAAAAAAAAAAAAAATTATTAAGCAGGGTAATACCATCATATGATTAAATTAGCATTTTAAAAAGAACACTGACTATAGAGTATGAAAAGGCAATGCAATATATGGGGAAAACTAAAGGTAAAAAGAGTGGGCTGGGAAGGTGGCTCAGTGGAAGAGTGCTTGCCTAGCATGCATGAGGCCCTGTGTTCGATTCCTCAGCACCATAAGCAGAAAGCACCAGAAGTGATGCTGTGGCTCAAGTGGTAGAGTGCTAGCCTTGAGCCGAAGCGCTGAGGGACAGTGCCCAGACCCAGAGTTCAGGCCCCATGACTGACCAAAAAAAAACAAAAACAAAAAACCTAAAGTCATAATCTGGGTCAAAGATAATGGGATTCTAAACTTTTTAACAATTTAGATTAAAAAAGAAAAAGTAAGGGCAAAAGATCTGTACAATAATAAAAACAACATGAAAGGGATATTAATAGTGTTCTGCGGGGAGGGAGTTGGAGATATGTATCAGTGGTACAGTATTTGCCTAGCATGCATAACCTAGGTTTTAAGTACAGAACCAGAAAAAAATAAAATTTAAAAATTATTTTTAAAAATTTTTTATAAACTATGGTGATACATGTCTATATTCCCAGCACTCAGGAGGGTTGTGGTAGGAGCATTGCCAAGTTTGAGGCCAGCATGGGCTACAAAGAGTTCCATATACTAGGCTAAATAGCAAGATCCTGCCTTTCAAGAAAAAGTTCACTCGGGTAATTTCTACCAACTTTGCGTTCTTAAATCATTATATGAAACCACACAACACTGTTTACCTTTTTCTGTCTTTATAATAACTTAAATTTTCTGTATTAAGAATATTTTACCTTCCTTATGAAAGACTGAGTAAAAGATCTTTGTAAACAAACTCTTAATAGTAATAAAAATTAATGTTCTATCTTGTCTAAAAATCTACCTTGTCTAATAATGTCTAATGCTCCTATAATTTTTGATAGTATCTTATGATACTAGTCTACTTTTTTTGATACTAGTATACTTTTATACTTTTACTCTAATTATTTGTGGACACTGCCACCTACTTTATTAACTACAAAGTTCCCCTTCCCTTTATTTTCTTTATTTTCTTTTTTTGGTCACAGGCTTGAACTTAGGCCCTGGGTGCTGTTCCTGAGCTCTTTTGCTCAAGGCTAGCACTTTACCGAGTCACAGCGCCACTTCTGGTTTTCTGGTGGCTAATTGCAAGTAAGAGTCTTACAAACTTTCCTGCCTGAGCTGGCCTGGAAGCACGATCTTCAGATCTCAGTCTCCTGAGTGGCTAGGATTACAGGTGTGAGCCACGAGTGCATGCAGCTTCCCTTCTTATGTATAAAACTCAAAATAAAAACTGGATTAACATTGGTCCTGCATTATACTGATTTTATTATCACAATCCATAAAACCTGTAATACTGTCAGTAAAATACATTACCTGTATAGCCCATAAATTTCCCAGGGATTTCTTGGTTACAGCAACGACTGCAGAAAATCTGCCCACAGAGACGGCAGTGGTGTCTGCGCCTAAAGGTTGTAAATTTTTCACTGCAGTCATAGCACTCTTTACATTGGCTATCTGGCATCCAGTACTGCTTCAGGTCACTATCCTATAACAACAAAATATGTGAAGAAATTTTCGAAACAGTGACTATCTATGGCAAAGTTACAATGGCAAATGAAATCTTAGGTATCTTTTACAGAAAATAATGAGCTAATTCTAAGGAACAAATGAAACACAAAAGGCAAAAATGACAACTTGAAGGAAAAAAAATTAAAGGACATATTTCTATCCAATGGGTAATAAACTTTCCTTCAAGAGTCATTAAGCCATTTTCAGTGAGTAGCCCCCAAAGAGCTTAATAAGGAATTTCCCAAAGCCTCTAGACAAACAGTGCCTACCTGGCTTTTCCCCTCCATGATTTCCTTGAGACGTTTTAATACTGTGCTGAGGCTTCGAAGCTGAACAGCTGTACGAGGATCATGACCTCCAAAGGTAGGTTCCGGTTTCCTTCTTGTATCTAGCCGAATTTTTAAAAACCAATCTTATTAAGAGTTCTAGTGTCTTTATAAAACATTGTACATACGTGATAGTGTCCTTATTGCTAGCCTTACTGATGTTCTCCCAGACAGTGAAAGGGATTGAGAATTAAATGCTAAGAGTTTATTGAAAGTACTTATCATTTAAAAAAGTTTCACAAGCAAGTAAGGGATACTTAAGACAAGAACTGTCTGAGATGATTGATGATTTTGAGGTCTAGGGTGGAAGCATCACTTAGAGGGCCAAATTTATTAATGATTTATTATACCCTTTGAGCTCAACCGAGTTAACCAGAGGAGTGCTAAAACTATTCCTACAGCTCTTTTCACCTGCTCAACCCTGCTGCTCCAAACTGGAAGGGGTCTTTTATGCCTGAAATAGCAATAAAATACTAAAACTATCAATATTTTTTAAAAGCTCAAATTCCAGTTTTGTGCCTTAAGTGGGATATGCCAACCAAACTGCCACCTATTATTTCCTTAAAAGTAAGGAAATAATTTTTATCTAAAGAGACCAAAATTACACTTCAAATTTCTATCTATTCCCGGTTCCACATAACCTGTGGTACAGGTAAGTAGCCCCTACTTATCTGCAGTTTTGCTTTCCAAACTTTCAACACCCTCATCAACTGCAGAACAAAAATATTAGCATTTGTTTTGATTCTTCCAAGAGAAGGACTATATTCAGATAACTCTTGTTATATTGTTGTAGTTATTTATTCTTGCTATTGGTTATTGATAATCTCTTACTGTGCCTAATGCATGAATTAAACTTTATCAAAGGTATTATAAATTAGAGCTTGATACTATCTGTGACTTTAGGCATCTACTGGAGAGTCTCAGAGGTATCCCTGCACATATTACTATAAAATAGAAAATATCCCATCCTGAATCTGCCTCAACTCACCATTTCCAAGACTTGTATTAAGTGGCTTTGTTTTGGAAGAGTGGGAAAGAAAGAATTACAAAAAAAAAAAAAATGAAAGGTTAATACCTATTCCCAAATTTATCAAGAATCATATTAACTCAAATAATTACTACCTCTAAACTGTACCTATTTTAGAAAATTTGTAAAACTTTTACCTTTCTATAGTTGTATCTTAATTTCAGCATATAGACTAGATATTTTGTTAGTCATATGTAAATATTAGAATGATTCGATGTTTCTTCAGTCTCAAATAATAAAGCAACTCTCTATGACTTACAAAAAATAAACAGATATAGCCAAGACTCAAAACAGCAGTGCTCCCTTTTTCAGGTGATAATGAATTGTGAAGCCCCTTACATTTAATACTGAGGAACAGAGAAAAGTCTTAAAAGAATCATCCACTGGAAAAGGATGAACAAGATCCTTCCTTGCACTCAAGAATAAAATCCATCCAAGAATGAAAATACAGTAGATATGAGACAAATCTGGTCTAGTTTCTAGACAACTAACCTTGGTTAGCTACTTCTCCTTCAAAATGGGTAAGAAAGCTAAATGGATACTAGAAAACTTTCCTAAGGTTAGAAAGCTCCCAATCAGTCTTTAGTGGGAAAAGAAACAAGCTTATGAGGCTCAAATGCTTCCAAAGCAGAATCCAAATTCAAGTGGACAGGATAGATAGAAAGGAATGGGGGAATAGCAGGCAGAGACTCCAAGCTCATCCAGGAAATACTTAAATTCAACTAGAGCAAAGCACCCAAGACAGAGTTTGGCAAGATGCCACCTTACAACCATTAAAAGATTAGATTCTAGTCTGACTCCTCCATGTTAACATTTGAAGAAATTCTATGCGAAAGAAAGAGATGGTGCTCTCTTTGGCCCCGGGCCCCCTCTTCTTCCCTCTGTAGAACAAAGGAAAGCATGATAGTATTTGGAAAAACTAATTCAAAACTGCAAAGTCAAAGCAGTAGGTGAAATTCTGTTCAAAAAACAAAAAACAAAAACAAAAAAATAATTCTTAATTCAGTTCAAAGAGCTTCCTAAACAAAACTTAGTATTGGCCATGAATCAGGTTTAAGAGCTAAACAGAGTCTGCTGAGGTTAAAGGTTACAGTGGGGATAAACTGGACTAAAAGGAGAGTTTGCTCTCTTCTGATTTTCTCTCTCTCTCTCACTCTCACTCTCTTGCTCTCGCTGTCACCCTCACCCTCCTTCCCTTCCTATTTTCCTCCTCCTCCTCTTCTTCCTGTCTCCTTCTGTCTCTCTCACACATTCCACATCCATCTACCCATCTCGCTGCTCTTTTATCCAACTGGCACATGCACTGAGGCTGCCCCAGTCCTTTAGCAGAAATTCCTCTTTTGCTTGGATTCTCCTCTTCTTCCAGTACACCAAGTTCAACAAGCAATAAAATACCCTTCTGCCAACCAATCACCGTTTTTTATACCTGTATTTCCCTGAAGGCCCTCATAAGAAAGATTGGCCAGACCAGACAGGAGCTGGAGTTCAGAAACACCTGATTCTCCTTTTCCCTGATTTTCCTTTCCCTTCTGTTACTCTTTCACTGTCTTTCTATCATCTTGAGCTGAGCAAACCACTCTACACAGAGTATAACAATCTAACAGAAATAAAACTTCATCTAGCCTCTGAACTCAGACATTGATCCCAGCCCACACTCATGAGAAGAGCATGAAAATGAATGAGATGATTATTAGTAGGCCAAGATGGAGAACACAAGCAGACAAAGGGAGCTCAGCTTATTCAGCCACACTGACAGTTTGCACCCCAACAAGGACAGAGGCCAAGAGCAAATGCAGCCCATTAATGGAGTTGACAAGAGTTCTGCAGCCAGAGGCATGCACACCACATTTCACTAGCATCCCAAGAACAGATGCAGAATTCATTCACAAAGTTGAAACTAACCTGAATTCTCCTGGGGATGCTGCAAACTGTTTTCTGCTGAAACCCAAGCAAGTAATTAATGAACAAACAATCAAGAGATCTGTGTCTTGCCTAGCAAAGTTTAATGACATGTTTTAAAAAAATTTTAAGTGTCAATTCTTCCACTACCTAAGGTAAAAATTTTATTTATTCTGAAGAGTACTTGACTTTTTAATAAACAGAAAGTTAAATGCAAAAAACAATGTGAGAAACTACGTAAATACCTAAGTGAAATAAAACACTATGTTTTACCTAATACTGATGAGCGACGCTGAAGTTCCTCATTCAGCTGCTTTTTGTAAGGTACAGGTGACCTCACAGATTGTGCCCTGGAAGGGAGTTGAGGGCTGGACCAACTTCCACTTGGAGACTGCTGCTCTCCTTGGCCCCCTTCTCCTCTCTCTGCAGCAAGGAAAAAGCTGGTGTTATTTGCAAAATTAAGACTCAGAGATGAGCAAAGAGGTGGCGGATAAAATTTTTAGACAAAATATGTATGTATAGTGAGCCCACCTTAATTCATCAATTTGCTATAGGCAGTTCTGACAAGCACAGTCAAACAAATTAATAAATTGAATTTTTAATGTAAATTCCCATGCCTATATTATGTGGGTGAGTTGATTCAGAAAAGTTCAGCCAGTCCTGTGTTTAAATTGTTTGTGATCTGCTGAGTATTTTCTAGCCCTTAATTTTGTAAAACTGTATCTCCCAAAAAGCAATGGTGTCCCCCAAAAGCAAGTTAAAAGTGAATATACCCAATTAAGTGACAAGGCAGCAAGTCTATCTAGAAAAATAAATCAAGCTCCCACCATACAGAACTGAACTCTATGCATTCTGAGCTTTTGAAATCTTTCCTTAATGGTAGTAGACTCTTAAGACTCTTAGACACCATACATCTGAAAACACCAGGGGTCTACTCTAAGTTTTAAAAACAAACTGAAACAATGGCAAACAATTACTAATAAGTAACTATACTATTTGTGTTTTGGATTAAATTTGAACATATAAAGGAAAAAAAACATCAGCTCCACACAAAGCCTGGGTTTTGTGGTTTGGACTTTTGGGGGGGATGGGGGGGTGCCCTTGCAGGTGTTCACACACATGTAGCACCAATTATGGGGTTGAAATCACAGCCTAGGTGTGGTCCTTGAGCTTTTTGCTCAAGGCTAGTACACTACACTTGAGGCCTAGCTCCACTTCTAGCTTTGTGTTGGTTAACTGGAGATAAGGGTCTCATGAACTTTCCTGCCCAGACTGGTTTTGAACCACGATGCACAGATCTCAGCCTCCTGAGTAGCTACAATTAGAAATGTGAACCACCAATGCTCAGCAAGCCTGGGGTATTTTTAAATCTGCTTATGTGAAAGATCCCTTACACTATTCACACTGGCCCAAATAACAGGGACTTACTAAGCATTTCCTAATTATTGCTTAAGAAAGCTTTTTTTTTTTGGTGCCAGGATTAGGGTTTGAATTCAGGGTACTGGGCTTGCTACGACCTATTTAGGAAGCAGAAATAGGAAAGGTTGCAGTTTGTGGCCAGCCCAGGCAAAAAAGTTATCCAAACCTCCATCTCAATAGAAGAGCAAAGTAGGCATGGAGGAAATCGCTTTTCTTCCTAGCTACATGGGAGGGATTGAGTAGGAAGATCACAGTGCAGGCTGACCCAAACAAAAAAATGTGAGACCGTACTTGAAAAATAACAAAAGCAAAAGGGCTGGTGAAATGGTTCAAGTAGTAAAGCATCCATCTAGAAAGTGTGAGTCCTGGAGTTCAAACTCTACTACTGCCAATATAATACATCTTTTCATCTAATAGTATCACACTTTAATCTGACAAAGATTAGTACTGGCTTTTTGGTAGTTCATTGGAAATAGAGTCTCTCAAGACATTCCTGCTGGCTTCTCACATCTCAGCCTTCTGAGTAGCTTAGATACCTATAAACCAAGCTACTCAGAACTACCTCTAGCCAACAAAAACATATATTTTTAAGGAAAATTCATTAGAATTGTTTCATTTGGTATCACGTATACATGAATGGATGTAAGTCACAAGAGACCTGCTAAAATTTTCCCATTTTCAAAAAGTGTAAACCTTTACTTTCATGTATTGCTCCTTTTAATTTTGTTCTTTTGAATAAAATCTTTTACCCTTAAGTCCATTATTGAATTTAAAGTTGAAGCTCATAATGAAAAACAAAACAAAAAAAAAAACCTACTTTCTCTTTAAAAAGGAACCTCCTTTTAATATTTTAGCTTTAATTCACACAAATAATGAGATGATAGTGGCTGGGAAGGTGGCTCAGTGGTAGAGCACTTGCCTTGCATGCCTGAGGCCCTGGGTTCGATTCCTCAGCACTACATAAGCAAAAAGAAAAAAGCCGAAAGTGGCGCTGTGGCTCAAGTGGTAGAACGCTAGCCTTGAGCTGAAGAGCTGAGGGACAGCACCCAGGCCCCACAACTGGACCCCCCCCCCCAAAAAAAAGAGATTATAGTAAAAAAAAAAATCTAGCTTTTCCTTCTTATACAGAAAGACCTGGTAACTTATTACTATTTCACTTTCTTGCAAAGACACAGCAGGAAAGTTAAATCAGGAAATCCCAAGGAATAAAACCTGTAAGTTTTCTGATCTTTAAGAATTAGTCTTACCTTTGTTAAATCGAAAAAGATTTACAAAAGAACTATATGCTGACTTAAAAGGTGGTTCATCCTGATCAGGAGTCAAAGGTTTAAAGTGTGTGAGACGAGAGGGACTAGTAGGAGACCGAGGCAAATCATTAGCAGAGTCCAGGGCTGGGGAAGAATTATCATCTGTGGCCATTTCATGAGTCTGGAAAAAAAAAAAAAAGAAACAAAACATCTAACTTCCTCAGAAACCAAAAAGTGATTCCAAACAACAAGCCACTACATGGAAGATCTGTGTAAAAGTTCTTATCTAAAAAAACAAAATAAGTAATATGGTAAGGCCATATCCAAATGAGGGCTACCTCAAAAGGAAGAGTGTCTCAACACCTAACTATGGTTATGTAGCCAACTTTAATTACTAGTCAATTATTTAACATCTTAAGCTAATTTTTAAAAAAATCACAGGTAAGGCATAAATATGAATTAGACATACATTTTAAAAAGCATAATATCTTTCTAGGCTTACTTGGGAAAAAAAAGAATAACTTTTTAAAGTTACAGGAGAAAACCGGTTTTATACAAGCATATAAATTCTTCAGCCTTGTTCTACTTATTTCAACTCTTCCCTTTTATATATCTAAAAGAAGAGTCACCTTTTTTAGCAGTTAGATTTGAATTCAGGGACTCACATGAACCATAATACCTTTCTCTCTTTTGGTTGTTATCTTTCAAGGTAGGGACCCCAGTCTTCAAACTAGTCTTCCATATCTCCCTTCCCAAGAAGCTAAGATGACAGGAGTGAGCAACTGGGCCAAGCTCTTTAATGACATTTCTCTCTTACTTCAACAAATAGCTCAAGGCATTCCTGTAACTAGTATTCAACTCAATAAACTGTCCTGTATTATCTTTTTTCTCCTGGACACATGATCTTGGGCTTTTCTCCCCTTTAAATCTAACTTCAAAAACTAAATTAAAGATCTTCAAAGATTTTGTTTCCCTAAATAACTAAAAAAAATTTAGTTGGAAACGGTAAATTATCCTATCAGAAAATCACTAAGGTTTATTTCTTGACCAACAGATTTATACTTTAAGAAGAATTAATTGTAACTCCAGTTAAGATGGAGGTTGCATTTTATAATCTAATCTGCCCTTTACAGAGAAGATATCAGACTCATAAAATGTTTTCTCCCTCAAAATTCTTTATACAGCTTATTTTATTTTTGCAATAATCCTGGAAAGTGCATACAGAAAGTCTTGTAACTATATTTTACCTCTGAAGAAATCAAGGTGCACAGAACCCTTCTTGGGAAGGAGTGGGGAGACAAAGATAGCTAGAACTAGACCCCAAATCATGCCACAAAGTTCTTTAGACTGAAATTGGTTTTGTAGCTCTTCACAGACTTTCAATTCTAGGCTACCTACATTCTTCAAAACATAAGACTTTCTAGATTGATACTTTAATTAACAAATTGGAGCAGAAGTGAGAACACTGACTTGAATAGGATTTGGGCCATAAACATTTATTGAAAGGGATGAAGAAAAAAGAGGAAAAGAAAAAGAGGAAGGAAAAGGGATGGAGAAATAGGAGGAAGGAAAGAAGAAGGGAGAGAAGGAAGAAAGGTTTCTAGTATCATCTTCTACAGGAGAAAGCAGTCACCAATCTTTGTAAAATGCCATGAAATCTACATCCAGCATGAAGGGATGTAGGAAACCAGATGGTGATTGAGAAAGTATAACTCAAAAGGGGCTTTTTGTTTTGTTTTTGCTTAAAGAGCACTGGAGAGAAAGGAGAATATCCTGGCAATAACAAACCCAAGCCTGGGAACACAGCCTACATTCTTCTTCCACAAAAGTAACATCAGAAACAGACTTAGCATCTGCCTAAAATGTCTCTGCATTACTTGTAAAGGACATTTTGACACAAAACTTGATCAGGCTTTGAAGATATGAAATTACCATGAAAATGATCTCTAGTACTACCAAAAACATGAAAACACATAGTAAATACAGTCGCTGAAACATAAATGCAAGCATATAGTTAACCTCTTAATTATCATGACAACAGTATTCTAAAGAAATTACACTGAAACTCCCATTTTTTGACATTTTAAGTACTTACTATATGAACTAAAACTGTTTCCTGACAGGTAATTACAAGTATTAACCTACCTAGCCAATTCTTGATTCCTGACCAATTTTCTTGATGTACCACACCTCTTTTCAAGGCAAGTGTGGTACACACTTACTACACTATCTTGGTAAAGTCAAAGACTAAAGAGGCATCAACCACAGAAAATAAGCTGATTATTTACCAGCCAATATCAAGGGTTAGGTCAACATCCAAACATCGGCCTAGTAATTTTTAGGACATTTTTCTAATGTAGATAATCATCTGAATATTTAGTAACGCTAGTCTCCATCAAGGAAGCGTTGGTGTTGTGGTTCAATTATAACCAACACAACAGAAATACTCAAGGAAAAAAAAAAACAGAAACTTGATTTCTGTAACTCTTCCCAGAAAGTAAAATTTGCCCCCCCCCCTCCCCCCACACACACACACACACACACAGGAAAATAGTCTCGGCTCTCAGAAGGGCCAATCTACCTACAAGAAAAAGAAAAAAAAAAAAAAAAACTAACAATGTCTCTGACCCAGAGTGGAACTCAGGGAGTGCCCAAAACAAGCTTCGGATAAATCCAAAGAAGAGTTGGATGTGCCAGGTGAGACTCCCTCTACCACCAATATCGTAGCAATTGTACACCACGGGATGCACTGGGGATTAAACACCCTGGATGACCACGCTGCGCACGCCACGCACCCAGGGATGAACGCGGTGTGCACACAATGTCAACACCCAGCCTATCTTTGAGTTTAAGACCCTGTACACCCCTCTCTACCCCCCCCAAAAAGACGCCCAATTCCCGGTGCACCCCCACGTTCCCCTCTCCTCTTTGCGAGGAACACGATTAACAAAGGGGGTAACGCGTAAGCCACTGGAGCATCAAAAACAAATACAAGGAAACGGGTTCACCACGACAGGGGCCAGCTCTGAAGAGGGAAACTGGTGAACTTCGGTTCACCTCCGACCCCGCCCCGGCTCGTCCGCCCCGGAGAGGACGCAGCCACCCTCCCGGTAAGTTCGGGCACCGGGGACCGCGCTTCCAGGGGACCTCTTCCAGGAGCGCCCCACCCGGCCCCATCCACCAGATCGGGCGCAGCCGGGAACCGGCGGCGGCAGCTCGCCGCAGACCCGGCCTCCCTGGCCCGGAGACCCGGCCTCCCTGGCCCGGAGACCCGGCCTCGGCCGCAGCGGCCTCCGGCCCCGGCCGGTGGAACCCCGGCTCCCGCCTCACCTCACCTCTCCTCCCGCTCCAGCCCGGGCTCTGCGAAGCCGGCCTTCCTCCCACTACCAGCTCCAGGCCCGCTCCCTGATCCCCGCGCCTCCCTCCCGGCGTCGCCGGCCTCCCTCCCGCAGCCAACCGCTTCCCCCCCGCCCCAACTCCGGTGCGCGGAGCCCGCCCCGGAGCGCAGCGAAAGCAAACCCCGGCGGTTGCGCCTGGAAGCGAAGCTGCTTACAAGGTTGCTGCGGCTTCTCGCTAGCCACCCCCGCCGGCCCGCCCGCGAGGCTCCGCCCCCTCGCTCCTCCTTCCCACCAATCCCCAACCTTTCCCCGAGTGGGCTCCGCCCCCTCCTCCTTCAGCCGCGCGACGTTCCGATCAGATGCTCAGGTCGAAGGAATCGAGCCCAGAGAGGATCGTCCTCGACTGCTCGGGTGGAACGCGGCCGTCTCCGCCTTCCCCGAGGACGCTGCGGCCACAGTGCGCGTGAGCGTCACGCGTGCGGGTCACCGGATGGGTGCGTGGTCCCCGGGACAGCAGACGCGTGCTGGCTGGCCTGCAGTTACCGTATGTGTTCGACACGGTGGGCACTCTCCCTAAGTTACCGCGCCCACGGCGCCGGGGTTAAGACGCGGATTCAGACCGGCAAGACTCGGGCCCTAGCTACCGTGGTGACCTGGGACAGACGGCTCATTTCTGTCCGTCTCTGATCTCTGGTGTGCAGCATGGACCAATAATATCAGTTCTCGACTCTAACGAACTCTTCTGGGGAAACTAAGTAAAACAAAGCGCTTGATGCAAGTGAGTGGCAGCGGTCCTACCCTGAGTAGGTGATAATGACTCTCCGTAAAGCTTTTGGTGCGGGTTTTGTGCTGCAAGTACGGATGCAAATAAAGTTACCGAGACCCGACTTGCTCCATCTGGCTAGCTTGGTCCGCTAGCTCCGTGCAGCCAAGAGTGTAGAAAGTACGCTTAAACCTGCTGATCGAAATCCTGAGGTTTGTCCAAGGGAGCATGCCCAGGATCAGGGAAAGGGCAAGGCAAGGGGGTTGGGGGGAATAAGAGAGGTGCTATTCTGAATTCGAATCTGTGGATTCTTTTCCTCAAGAGTTTTCCTCGAATTGGTCTTTTCAGCTACTGGGAAAATACCACTGAACCCTGCAGTTTGGTAACTGCAAATCCTGTATTGAGCTTCCTCTGGATTCTTCACTACTGCTCCGTGCCAATCTTCTCTCCTTCCCTCTCTCTGACCCACAGTATCTCAAACTGTCATTCTTAGTGAAAAATAAGCCCAGATTGCTTTGGATGTAACCTTTAACCTAACTACCCCCACCACAACATTTACCTGAATGGGGCCCTGGCCTGTCTGGCCCCATCTACCCTCTCCTATATCGTTGCTGGATATCTTTTACCAACCCTTTACCAATCTTTTACCAATACCATAAATGTGCTCATGCTCAAGCCTCTGCTTGAGGGGTGGGGGAAGAGAAGGAGGAGGCTAAAAAAAAAAAAAACTCAAGTTAACATACCAGATGTTAATATTTGAAAACCAACTGATCATATGAACAGAATAGATAATCCAGACCCGAAAGAGCGGGAGAGGGGGAGGGAAAGAAAGAGAGAGAGACTTGATGTATGGTAAAAAGAAACGCCAGTCAACAGACACAGTGGGTCATTCATTGGACCAGCAATGTGTCAGTTAGTAGGTGCTGTGCTAGGGATAAAACTGTGAACATGACAAAGTCAGTGACCTCCACACTTTCCCAGTCTCACAGCGATATTAGCTAACAGTTGCATTTCTGTGGAAAAGAGATAGAAAATTGTTTTAGGGAAGAAGTCTGTTTAGGTACTCACTTCATACTAGACATACAAAATGCACTCCAGATGCATTTCATCTACAGAGATTCTTTCTTTAAAAAATTTTTCCCTCAAACTTGCATCTGAGCATTCATTTGATTCTTGCCAAGTTGGGTGTAAGTAAAGCATAGTATTTATAGTGTATATAGTACTATGGAACTTTACTTATCTTCTATATGTCTTAGTTACATTTTACTGAAAACAAGTAGCTTTTCTCTCGTGATTTTCTCTCTTTATTGATTAGTATCAGCATGGACTTGTGTTTATTTTTCAGGATGTTATAATTTACTTCTGCCACTATACATTTTTACATTCTTTGATCCTCTTTTTTTAATCACCCATACCCAGAGCCTCACACTTGTTTGGATTGCTTGATCAGCTTGCTTGCTCAGCTGATGTTCAATACTTGCACTACACCTTCAGCCTGGCTTTTTGATGGTTATTTTGGAGATGGAGTCTCACAGACTTTTCCACTCAGGCTAGCTTCAACTACCCTATTCCTCAGATCTCAGCCTCCTGAGTAACTAGAATTACAGGTGTGAGTTCATCTTTTTATAGATCCATATAACAAGTCATGCCATATAAATGGATTTCTGTGCCTGGATTATTTTAACATCATGTCCTTCAGACTCATGTATGTTGTCACAAATGATAAGATTTCCTTCTTTTGTATTGTTTTGTTTGTTACCATACTGGGGATAGAATCCAGGTCCTTGGACTTGCTGTGCAAACTGTCACTTGAGGTTTGCCCCTATCTCAAGTTTCTTTTTTGAAGCTGAATGGTATTCTGTGGCACATATATACATTATCCTTTACCTATTCTCTCATTTGACGGACACCCAGGTTGATTTTAATATCTTGGCTATTATGAATCATGCTACAATGAACAACATAGGAGGTTCATATGTCTCTGGCTTACTGATTTCCTTTCTTTGTATATGTACCAAAAAGTAAGACTTCCAAATCATAGAGTAGTTCTAGTTTTCATTGTTTTAAGTACCCTCTATAGTTTTTAGCATAATATCTGTGCTAGTTTACATTCCCACCAGCCACTTGTAGTGGTTCCATTGTCTCCACATCCTCTCCAATAGGAGTTACCTTTTGTCTTTAATTATAGGCATCATAACTGGATGATATCTAGCATTGTTTTAATTTATATTTCTCTGATAGCAATGTTTGTCATTTTTCCATATACCCCTAGGCCAGTTTTCTTTTTTTTAATTTTTATTTATTTTTTATTGTGAAAATACTGTACAGAGGGGTTACAATTACATGGGCAAGATAATGAGTACATTTCTTATCAAGCATTGTAGCCTCCTCCTTTGTTTCCCCTTCCCATCCCTTCCCAGCCTCCCCCCCCCTCACCCAATCCTCCCCCCCTCCCCACCAAAGTTGTAAAATTCGTTTTCAACATGACTACTTGTACTTCTCATTGTTGCAATGGGTCCACCTGTATCCTTATTTAAACGACTTGCTCCTAGGCCAGTTTTCTATTCATACCCTTTGCCCTTTTTATAATTGGGTTTAATTTGTTCTCCAGCTTTTGAGTTGTTCAAATTGTTTATGTATTTTAGATAATAGTGGCTTCTCAGATATAAGGTCTGCAAATATTTTCTTCCATTCCATAAGTTTGTCTATTCTTCTGTTGGTTGTTTCTTTGGTTTTGAAAGAGTTTTTTGGTTTTGTTTTTTGTTTTTTTGTTTGTTTTTTTTGGTCAGTATTGGTCCCTGGATGCTGTTACTTAGCTTCTTTGCTCAAGGCTAGTGCTCTACCATTTGAGCTACAGTGCCACTTTCAGTTTTCTGAGTAGATTATTGCAGTTAATAATCTCGCTAGTTTTCCTGCCCCAGCTGGTTTCAAACCACGATCCTCAGATCTCAACCTCCTGAGTGCTAGTATTACAGACATGAGCCACCTGCGCCTGCCTGAGCTTTTTGTTTTGATATAATCTCATAAGTCTCTTTTGGGGAGTCATACCAAAACTCTTTACCAAGGCCAAAGTCACAGAACTTTTCCCCCACTGTGATTTCTTCTAGTAGTTTTATAAGCAGTGAGATTCATCTAAACATTTCAAGCAGTAACTTAGTTTTAGCCAAACATCAGTTATAAAATTTAATTGGTGTTCTAAATTGTAATATATTGTTTTATAGTAGTTTGTTTCTAGTCAGTTTGCCTATATAACTTTATGGTTGTATGAGAAGTATCACTATTAGGATTGTGTGCATAAAATAAAAGAAACAATTTCAGAGTAGTGTTAGAATGCAGTACTAGACATAATTTTTGAAAACTAATTTTAGGGCTCCTAATCAGGAGGCTGAGATCTGAAGATGGCAGTTCCAAGCCAGCCCAGGCTGGAAAGTCTGTGAGACTCTTATCTCCAGGTAAGCACTGAAAAGCTGGATGTGGAGCTGTGGCTTGGGACAGAACCTAGGCCCTAAGTTCAAACTCCAGGTGCAAGCAAGCAAGCGTGCAAGGGTGTGCTTGTGTGCACACCCACTCACACACACCCTGACTTTACACCTCCAGTCCAACTTCACTAAACCCAGATAATGATCCCCTTAACTATCTTCTAAAGCAAATGGCAAAAAGATTTATTTCATGAAAATAATGAAGATACCCAAGGCTAAAGAGCTAGTCACAGGTGGTGGCGTTGTTATCCACCCGTGGCTCTCCCGCCGTGTATGAGTTCCACCCTTCGTGTCCCAGCAGTATCTAAAAAAACCCAAAGAAGACTGGGAGCATTCTTCTTTTAAAGACTCACTCCAGTCCACATTCAAAAGCACCAGGAAAGGACCCGCCCTGGTCCAGTTCCCCGCTGCAGGCTCACTGCGGGGTGCTCTGGATCGGTCCAAAGCCCAGGCCGCGGCGTCCTGCGCGCCCCTCTCCCGGCCTGCAGGTGGCATTGTCGGTCTTGGGCTGCCGGAGTCCCGCGGAATTCCGGCGGCGGCGTGGCAGCCCCTTCCCCCACCCGGAGCGCAGCCCCGGCTACACCGTGGGCCCCGCCCCCAGGCGCGTGGCCCCGCCCCCACGCCCGGGTCCGGGCGCCCCCAGAGAAGTCGGCGTGCGTGGATTGGTGGGGAGTAGAGGGCGGGGCTTAGGGAGGTGGGCTGAGGAGGTGGGGCTTGGGAGGGGACAAAAGCCAGGGAAGAGGAAAAGCCTGACCCGCCCTGCAGTCCTGGGGTTCGTGCTGAGTTGTAGCCTGAGCCTGGGCGGCTGCCGGGGGCCGGGTGGCGAGCGTTGTGCCGCATTTTGAGAGGGAGAGCAGCCGTGTAACACTCCCCACACCTGCTCTTCAGCTCCCTTTCGGCAGGTAATCTACGGCTCGGAGGGGC